CCACTAACAATTTGTCCTGTTCTGCATGTTCCCGAATGACTCCATACTAATCTCATGTCGAGTCTTTGAAAAACATCTACTTTCTTTATTTGTTCGGTAGTTTGTGAGTTTGAATGTATATGCTTCTTCTCTTGCGTTGTCCTGAGAGATATACGATACGACCATTTGCAAGGATTTTGATATCCAGCAACTGCATAGAAGCGTCATCGAAACCAATCCAAAATCCTGGTGGGTTTTTGTTATTGAACCTGAACCAATTTCTTTATCTGTACAATAAATTGACCTTCATTTTATACGTAATGAATGTATTGTAAAGTCCAACATATTTTCACCAGGAGGTGAGAGATTGAATGTTACCCATGTGTTATCTTTAGCAGTTCCAGTTGTGATGGAATCTTTGCGTCAAATATTTTCTATTAGTGTCACAAATTTGAACGTGCTTTCTATGATATCGAAATATGAGCGAATCTGATGAATATGCTCCTGCTGGAGTAAATTCGTTTAACTGTTCGTTCTGCATGTCTTTGACTTCGGATAAAAATTACTATTTACTTCATTATTCTCACTCTTCTTCTTGGCTATTCGTGGTGGAAGTTGTTTCTTGACATTTTCGATGAAACTGTACATTCTCTTTTTCTCAACTTTTCACTGGGGGTCAGGGTTTTTTGACGGTTTGTTTTTTCAATGAAATTCACGCATTTTGCAATAAGCTCTTGGTTCGTTATTGAAAGAACATCTGGCTTCTTTTCTTCTTGTTCTTTTGTCTCAAGTTTGAAAGAAGGTTTTATACTGGGCTTCGTGGACTTCACCCTTGCCATGCACCTTAATGTTGTCGCTCTCTGCATTCGTAATGGAACCTTCTTTTTCTTACTATATTTTTACCTCTTTACTCTGACTTACATAATAGAAAGGATGTTGTATTCCTCTTGCGTCATTTAAATATAATAGACTCTCGCTCGCCTGTTTTGCCAAGCTCATTTTACAATCGGTTAAAAGTTTTTAAGTTGTTTTTTATCTCATCAAATGACTCAGACAAGCTAGGACAAAGACCCAAGGGGTCATAGATGTTGAAGCATTGAAGAGAAAGATTCGGAGCAAATTTATCCGAACTGAGAGAACAAAACAAGAACAAAGCAGGAAGACCAAAGAGAAAACTTAGTGAAAAAACAACTGCTGCATTGCTGCTGGAAGACAAAGAACCCACGTTTGCTGGCGAAAAAAGCTAGAGAAAGAAGCAAGAACAAAAGCTAAAGGAAGCTGAAGAAAGAAAGAGTAAATGGTTTATTTTTATAAAACTAAATGTAAAGACAAACCTTTATCTGTTGCCGTTCAGTAGTGAAAAACCCTGACGTCAAAATAAAGGGGAACAGAGTAACGTTTAAGTTTCCAACAGACTGGATTGTGAACTAAATGAAGAGAAGTACATTGGCATAACATCTATGTATATAACACGTGCTTTCAGAAAGTTGACTTTATACTTCAAGTCGAGATAGAAAATGAACGAACAGTCTTTAAGCGCCCAAACATTCACATTATCAAATACTTTAAAGACGATACATCATTGTTGCAATGTATGATTTCATTTAATGAAATGTTCGAGAAAAAGTTAATTGAAGTACATGAAGTACAAACTTTACAGCCTTTACGTGAGTTTCTTGCACAACTGAAAGAAGAAGGTAGTCAGCCACAACTTATAGACTTTCATTATGAATTTAATGAAAATGAAGATGGAACTCATGACTGTCAATTCATTGTATTCTCACCATTCAATGAAGTCGCTAAAAAGAAAGAAAATCCATTACGTATAAGATTTCAAATCTCCGAACCAAGTGATGATTTTCAAGAATGTTTTCAATTATGATGCAATGCTTCCGAGGAAAAATGAATTTTCAAAGATTGTAACACCTGGCATTTGGGATAGAAAGCAAGCAATACTTTACTCTAATATAGCCAAAGGCGTTGAAAATGAGTTCATTGGTCATACAAGAACTTCACCACTTCCTAACCCTAAATACTATAAATTAACTGGCTTCAATCGTGAGTTTTGGATAGACATGTTCTCCACTCATGACCATAAATGTCCAGTGTTCTTGCCTCCAGATGGGAAGGACTGTCTCTACATTGAAGCACAACTCTTAAACTCTACCATCGCAGTATTGTAAAATCTACGCTAGCTTTATTTTTATCACGAATGACCTCATTGCTGACAAAAATAAGCCGCTAGCGGCAAGGGCGAAGCCCATGACCTCAGAACTTCAACTTACGAATAAAGCTTGTTTTAGTCGTTATTGAAAAGTTGAACTTTTCAGCAAAGCAAGGTTGACATGACTTACATAAGTCGAATGCAATCTCTTGACCATCATAAAGTGCTTTGTAAAGTTTCATTAAACTGAACTCAGAGTCTTTGTCATATGTTCCAACAGGTATGTGAATGTTCTTATCTTCATTGTAATAGCATTGTATAGCTTCAGGAAACATTTCATTAGCGGTTAAAGCAATAACATCTTGCTTCACGCCTTTCATTCTGCAGTGAAATGCAACTTCATTTAAATCGTTAGTGAGTAAGTCTATGTAGGTCTTCTTTCCACAGAAAATACTTTTATAAGCTAAACTTTGTTTTCCAGGTGTTATTTCTGCAAAGTCGCTATGAAATTGACCAAGGTTCTTTCCTATAAGTTCGCGACCATATCTCTTCTTAAACTCTGCTGCAAGCTTTGGTATGTCTTCATTATATAAGTGCATACTGTCGGTATCCTGGTAAAATATTTGAAGACCCATGTCCTCTGCAGTACAGAATACTTCATTCATAATACGTTTTGACATAGACAGAATATTAACACCAAGTGGACAGAAGTTAAAGTGTCTGCAAATGCTTTTCGTTAGCTTGAAAATAGTTTTATCTGAACCATCCAAACCTTCGAACTTCACTATATGGTTGTAATTTCTTATAGCATATCTTATAGCATCTTTGTCATTTACTATGGTTATTTTTGACTCAATAGGAGATAGAATAGTTTTGCCATAAATGCTGTTCAGAATGAGTTTTATAATTTCTTGTAAGGGGTTTCCTTCTTTCTTATACTTTAACCTTAACTCAAACAACTTCTTTACTTCATCTCTTATTCTCATATCTCTGTTTCCATCGTAATAGTATCCTTGCAACACTTCACATTTGACACCTTGATATTTTATGAGGTCTTGTAATGTTATATGGTCAACATACATGAGACAGCAAGTGTTTGAACTTCTTGGAACGTTAAGTTCTGGATTTAGTTCAGGGTCGCAAACTATTAAATGAAAGTGTCTGGGTATACCAATCTCTGTTATCTTAATGAGAACAAAGAAGCCAGACATAAACTTTTCACCAATGGGTTCCTTTTGGTCATCATCGAATAAATGTCTCATGAGATACTCTGTGTTAACATTTCTTCCTTCAATACTTTTGGAATACCTTCTAAAGTATAAAGTCTTGCTATAGCTGAAGGATATAATGAAACAGTGTCGAAGTCAGCAATGAGTTTCTTTTTGCTCTTTTGTTTCATGTTATCTGACAACATACATCTTCCACCTTGAATGCATCTCGAAATAAATTCTCTTGGTTTATTTGAGAGGTCATAAAGATTTCCATTCGGGAAGTATACTCTGTTCTCAAACAATTTGTTAGCAATAGAACAAATACTAACGTAGTCATAAACGTTTAAATCAAACTCTTTCAATAAGTCATTGCGGAACTTTACAAAACCTTCTCTTAAAATTCTTACATCTTGTTTGCAGTAAAACGTGCTATATTTTTCTAAGTCGAAGTGGTTTTCATCTATTCTGCAACCTTTGATGGAATCTATGTTTTCATAAATGTATCTGCATCATGGATAAACTTACATGCTTCAGAAATGACACCAGTTCTGTTGTCATTTGCTAACAAAACACTGCTGTAGTAGTTATATGGAAATACTTCTTTCGGTCCTGTTTGTAAGTTAAACATAGCAGGAAATAGTTTAAGCTTCTTATTTATAACACTGTAAGAGTCTTTTATAATAATTGCCCGTCCTTTATATAAACCAGTTATTTGCATTGTTCGTGAACCTTTAATGATGGGAGTTCCTTTCACTTCTGTCATGTGTCTTAAGATGAAGTTTATGTCATAACTGAGGTTTGGAAATATATTAAACTCTTGTCAGGAAGTCTTTCCAAAAATTCTGTTGCACAGTTTTGACCCCAAATGCTTTCACTCACTGAACCATCTTCACTGTCATAACAGATGTTAAAAGCTTTATGAAAGCCATCCGTACTACACTCAAAGTCAGCAAAGAAAACGTGCTCAGGAATGAATTTACATTTAGCTTTATTTACTTCTTTTGACTCTGCTTTCTTCTTCAGTTGTACACAATACTTTGGAGCATATGTCAAATCTTTAAATGGTGCAAGGTTCTGTTTATATAAGTCAGTAGTATATGTGAAAAGTTCTCCATAAGAAATAGGTTCGAAATATTTGCACTCCCACAATGTTTTCATAACATCCCATACGGTGTTGTTCTATCATAACGAACTACATATTTATCTTCTCTCTTTGTATAAATCTTCATCTGTTTCTCAATGTTCATTCCACCACAACTTTGAGAATTTCTATATAGTTTCGAATGAAATATGTTGTCATTGGTAATCTTTCATTTAGCATGTAGTGGTCTTCAACAAGAAGTAAGTCAATAGTTCTAACAGTTTCACATTCTTTTGGTATGTATCTCTTTATTTCATTATGTCTTGAGTCATTGAAATAACCAATGGTAACATTGAATGCTATACCTGTTGTCGGAAATTTCTTGTACTTTACTTTGAGGAAAGTCTCTAACACGAATGACTTCTCTCATGTGGTCAATAGTTTCTTCATTTACTCCAGCCTGAATGCAAGCATAAACGAAACAATTGTCCTCTGTCATAAGTGTTGCAGTTCTTTTGTTCAGTTCATTGAAGATTTGGTAGCGTTCAAGATTTATAGGTAATGTGCAAAGATACTTCCAGAACTGACCGCTTCTCTTCTTATAAAACTTCTTTTCACCATTATCTTTCCAAAAGCTTTCTATAAGTGCTGGGTTTCCTGTTTGCTTAAGAGCTTCCAAAATGGCTTTCTGGTCATTTGTCAGTGTGCTTTCATCTCTATATGGTCTCTTTTTTGGTTTGCCTTTCTTTACATCTGACATCGTTAAGCCTTCATATTCTGTTAAATCATACATCTTTATTTCGGTAAGATTCTTTATGTTTGTCAAGAAGAAGTCATAGTGCATTTCAACAATACCTGCAGCATTTGCTTCTATCTCTGATATAAAGTTCTCCTTCAAGAGCTGATGTAGTAATGTTCCAATATTATTGAGGTTTAACGTAGAACATTCATACTTTCCACCAAGTTTATAACATACCATCCATCTCTGTTGCGAGTTTATTTTAATTTTCTCTAAGAGTCTCATGAAAACCTTACCGAAATGTTTGTGTAAGTAGTCTCTGTTTGGTTCATCTAAAGCTTCGATGTTAAAGTCAATGAGTCTATTGCCTGACTTCACATTTCTCTTCCTATTCTCTTCATCTTTCTTTAACCATCTCTCACCTTCTTTTGGTTTGTCGTCAATGGAACGAATGACATCGTTAGCTTTGCGAACTTGTTCTATAGCACTTTTAAACATCTCTCTTCTCTGTTGTTTCAGTGTGTCATCTCTCTTTCGTGTTTCACCAACGTTTGCATTTGTTATGTCAAACATCTCTCTTCTTACTTCATGAGGTACTGAACGTCTATGATATAAGTCAATAGCAATGTCATTTAAAGGAAATGCTCTTGCATGGACTTCGTCCTCGCCGCGTTGCGGCTTTATGAACTCATGAATTCTATCATAACTTATTGCACCATTATAGTCTTTAATGAAGTCAGCGAGTGCTTTTTTGTTTGTTGCGTAATGCTTTGCAACATCTATATTAGCTTCTGTAAGAAGTTGTTTTATTTCCGAGTGTTCTAACTTAGACAACTTCCGATACATCTTTAGTAGGAAATAAAAAAATATTTTTTGAAAAAATTAGATTAGATTTTTTTTAAGTTATTTTTCAAAATAATTTAATATTTTTATTTTAATGAAACACATGCAAGATTGCAAGTTCTTTTCATACAATGCTCTCGCTACTGCCATCAAGAATGAGTTCAATAATGCTTCAAACGTTAATGTTATCTTTAACAAGAAGTTTGTGAAAGAATCTAAGTTTGGTCAGTATGTCAGACCATTAGCTATCGTCATTGACCGCAAACGTTATACTTCACAAGAGTTAGCAGTAGTTTTGAAACAAAAGGTTTCTTCGTGAATGTCAAAGATACACACTATACTGTCATAAAGAACTCCAACATTGACTTCTTCAGTATTGCTATGAATCTTTCCGAACAGAAAGAATATAAGAAGGGTGAAACATCTGTGAAATATTATCCTTCATCTCTGAAGACAATAACGAACAAAGATGTTATACAAAAGTTCTTACCAAAGGTTGAAGAAGCTTCAATTGACATTGACGAAGGAAGTGAAATGGTTGAAGAAATTGACCCTGAAGCTATTTAACCAAAAATATTTTTTGGTGAAGAGGTGAGATATCACCTAGCCGCTTTGCGGCTCTGACCTTTGGGTCTGTTTTTTCACCTCATTCTCTCTTCGTTAATGTTGTCGTGACTTCTTCGTTAATGTTGTCGTGACTTCATTCTTCCTCTTTGAAGTTATCGAAATATTCTGTTATTTTTTCCTTCAGTAATGTTAAGTCTTCTTTGAAGGTAAGTATTGTGCAACCTTTGATGTCATAGTGTGTTTGAGGAAGAGTATTTTTGACAATTTCTTTTATTTGCTCATTCGGTGTCATTGAAATCGGTAAGTTTTCACGATAGAACCAGTTTCTGTCAGATTTATATATTTTAGCAAGGTCGTAAAAGCTTTTGTTGTTTCTTCTGACTAAATGCAACATAACCATATCTCTATCTTCTTCTTTCTCCAACTCTTCAGTATAAATCATATACTTATAACTCTTTTCCTTTCCTTTTGGTACTGAACGTGGTATTCTTTTCTGTATGCTTTTGTCTTTGGATTCAATGACTTCATCTTTTGCTTGAAGTTTCTTTTCCATCTCTCCACGTTCTGCTTTATATAGTTCATCTAACATCATGAAAATATAACAAGCATAACGAGGTGAAGCCCACATTGCTACAGCATTTACTAAAAGTCTATGAACATAATAACCTTTCAAACCAGGTGCCAAATTCTTGCGATTTTCGTACGGAATCTCTTCCCTCGGTTTTCCGAGGGAAGCAATCATATGAGGAAATTCTTCTAAAAGTTCTTTTGCCTGTTGGTTTTCAAACCAATGATATGCTTGCTTTGTAGAACGAAGAGCGTTCATTATACTTTGCATTTGATACATATCATCTTTGACTGAACGAATGAGTCTCAATTGTTTGTTATATTGTATGTATTCGTATTCTTCATTTATGGCTTCATGAACGATAGCAGTTGTTGTGTTCTCTAATGTTGACATTACTGTTCTTACATACAGGATAAAAAAATAAATAAAATAAAAACTAACTTTATTTTTTCTGAGATAAACACTATTTCTTCACAACATTAAATTTTATCCTGTATGAAATGACTTTAAAAAGATTATTGACTGACTTCGAATACTATCTCATTGACGCACTGACAGACCCTCAAAACTGTGTTGAAAGTTCTTTAAGCTTTAAGATTGAAGGTACGACGCATTTTGTCTTCACTTACGTATTGAAAGAATATGACCGTTATCATAACGAAGTGAATCAAACACTAATAAAATTTGTAGATAAAAAATTGGTTAACAATGAATATTTTAAACGTGAAGACCCAAACACTGCTGGAGATGATGAAGAATACAGACAAGTTATTGAAAAAAATAACGCAAGATTAGATGCAATAGAAAAGAAGTTTAATGAATGTCTTACAAACACGTATGAATATCTTATGCAGTGGGAAGCCAGATGGAAATAAATTTACGTCAAATATGCAATTTATAAAATCTTATGTCGACAGGCTACGTAGCACAGTGGTCTAAGGTGGTGTTATGGAGGGGTCAGGGTCTGTGGTTCGAACCGCGACAGCGCCGTATTTTCTTATTTTCTTTATTTGTCTTGTTTGTCGTGAATAAAAAGTGTCATAAAAGTGCTCTATCTTCCACGGGAATAAATAAAAAATTTACTTTATTTCTTCTTTATTTCTTCTTTATTTCTTTGTTCCCGTGGAAGAAGGGTTTTGCTGTTTTTTCTCAACCGAAATCAATGATTTTTTCATTTTTGGAATCCTTAGCGAATGAGGAATCTTTTCTCTCGTGGAAGCTTTGACCTAAAATATAATTTAGGTGAAGAGACCCAAAGGGTCAGAGCCGCAAAGCGGCTAGGTGAGATGTCACCTGTTTTCTCACCTCTTTTTTCACCCTCGTGACTTTGTCATAACTTCTTCGTAAATGCTTTGTCATAACTTCTTCGTAAATGAGTGTAAATGACCAAAAATATATTATAGGTGAAGAGGTGAGATGTCACCTCTTTTTTCACCTAATTTCTCACCCTCAGCCGCTAAGCGGCGAGACCCAAAGGGTCTTGAATTTTCATGAATTTCCTTAAGATAGAAAAATAACGTTAGTTTTATTTTTATTTATTTTTTTATTTTGTATGTAAAGATATGATTTCAACAATCGGCACAACAACAATTCAAGCCGCGAACGGCGGGACTCTGTCCACAACAACTTCACCAAACTCGTTAGTCATGAATCCAACATCTATGTTAGTAGAGATGAAAAGCTTCATTCCTTCTTCATATACTTTCGAAACAAAAATCCAGAAGATAAAGCAAGAACTTTTAACAAGTAATTTAGACTGTAGTGCGAAAGATGAAACAAATGAACAGTATCTTTATGAAATGCAGGACATTATTGACCATTTACCTAAACTACCTGAAATTCAGCATCAAAAACTAACTATTCCTGAATTCGATGAAATAGAAGTGAAACCAACTGACTCAGTAGAAATAAAGAAGTTCATTCGAAAGGTAAACTATGAGTTTCTAGGATTTCATTGCAACCATAAGGTTATGGACAAAGATTGCGACATGGTATATAAGAATGTTTCTGACATATATAAATCCGGGGAGTTTAAGACCTACGATAACTTTGTTTCGTTAGTTGCTGAATGTGTATGGCAGATAAGAGATAAAGATAGAAGAGGTAAAATATGGAACGAACAGATAAGACCAACTGCTTTTGAGTTAAAGAAAACCATTGACGCCTTAGTTGTTTTAGCAGGTAAGGTTTCAGAATATAACGCAAAAATGAATCCGCAATGTTCTAAATGTAAAGCAGCAATTAGGAAATATAACTACTCCGTCAAAGAGATAGAAAGAATGCGAAACGACTATGCAGACTTAAAGAAAGAAGCAGAAAAGCCAGCAGAAAATAAAATGGACATGTTAGCATTTCTGAACAAAAACTATCCAACTGCTGACGATTTCCTTCTATCTGACGTCAAGAAGAAATATAAAGAAACTTTCGGCATTGTTAAAACTTTTGACATACTGACAGAAGAAATAGAAGCTACGAAATTGTTTAGGATTTCAAATATACATCGTACAATTCATGTAAAACGCTTGTGAAAAACTGGGGTGAGAAAACAGGTGAGAAAACGGGTGACATCTCACCTCTTCACCTATAATATATTTTTTGGTGAATTCAATAAAAATAAATGGTTCATTTACTCACAATATTTTTGTACAAAACGACCCCAAACTTTTAACTTCTTTTCTGCAGCTTCAAATGCTATCTTAGCGAGTTCATATTCTCTAAATTCTCTCTTTAAATCTTCTTGTTCCCATTGGTCTAGTTCGTATGGAGAATCTCTATAACCATAATATATCTCACGTTCATGTTCTAATTGTTTTTCACACATTTTTCCAACTTCTTCTTCGAACAAAGGTTTAGCATTCTCCACTGTATCTTCGAGTTCTTCTTCATCTAACTTCTCATGAACTTTCTTGTCTATGGAGTCCATAATATCTTTGACATAAAATGCATACTTTACAGAGCACCATTCAGCAACAAAATGAACGAGGTCAGCATGTATGTAAATACCTTTGAATTCATTCATAACGCCCTTAGTAAGCTCATAAAATGCTTGTTTTGAGGTCGAGCCACTTTTGGCTCCACCGTATTCGTTCATCCAAAACTCAAGAATTTCCTGCATTTTAGTACTATTGAGAAATCTGTTTAAATGGTTTAACTTTCCTGCTTCTCTTGCCATCTTTGTTGCATTAATGTAACCATCCTTGTCTCTACGTAAGACTTCAATACCGTTATAAGTGCCTTTTGTGAATGTTTCACCATTAGATTTGTTCGTGAATGTTTTTGCTTCGACTGACATTTCTGTTCTTACATACAAAATAAAAAAATAAAAAAATAAAACTAGCGTTATTTTTGGTCTTTTGTGAAAATTCATGAAAATTCAAGAGGTGAAAAAAGAGGTGAGAAAACAGGTGAAATCTCACCTCTTCACCTAAATTATATTTTTGTCTGATTTACATCCAACGAAAAAGTTTAGAAGAATTTTCTTATTCTTTCTGGCATGTTTTTATCTTTCCAGTACTCCCGCTCTAATGGTCCCAGATGAGTTGGTTTAGATTCTCTCAAGTTCTTAGATGGTATAACATCTTCAACGCCTCCTTCATATCTTACTTTATAAGTGTCATCGTTTGTGTTATAGTCAAGTATTTCAATAACCACTCCTCGCTTTGCTTCGTCAATGGTTTCAGCAAGTTTGCCATTACTACTTTCGACTAATTTATGTCGAGGGTAAAATGCTATGGAGTCGTCAGCAGCTTTTATAAGATATCCATTACCTTGCGTAGAGTCTACGATATAATAATTTCGACTTAACCTTAAACGTTTCTTTGTCAACGGTTTGTCGTCAAGAACTACACGAACTTTTGTTCCAGGAATGAGAGTAAATTGTGTTGAATTTCTGATATTTTGTGTTTGGCTTCGTTTCTTTTGTATATACTTTTCTTCTTGTTGTTGTGTCATTGAATTTGGTGTATGTCCTGTTGTAGAATGTGTTGAGGAATTATATACTTCGAGAAAATGTTTCATTGTTTCTTCGGTAAAGTCTCGCTCTTGATTTAAATCTCTGAGAGTCCTTATGAAGCGGTTAATGATACCGAGTATGTTATGGTTATGGTCTTCAGTAGTGTAGTGAGTTATGTTATGCTTAATGAGAAATTCTGTGATTTCGTTGCTGAGGTATGCACCGTCTTGGTCTGATGTTAAAATACTTGGGCTATGTTCTGCTACAAACTTTTGTAAAACTCTTAACACTTCATGAGTTCCTTTATTTCTCATTATATACGCATATGCTTTACGAGTGTTAACATTTATGAAGATGAGGAATGGTTTATGTCCTCCTTTTCTGCTTTGAATGAGAGTGTCAAATTGGTATGCGTCAGGAGTGTTGGAGTAAATTGGTAAAAAGTAGTCGTAAGGATTTATTTTTGTTTGATGTACAACATTTTTGTCAAAGAACCTTTTCACTTCAGCTCTGTTAGTAAATCCCAACTCTTTGCAGCTTCATTGAACTTCTTAAATGACCTCCATGGATGTTGTTCGAATACTTCTTTCAAGCTCATTTATGTAAAGTTAAAGATTTTAACCAACTCGTATCCAAGCGTGCATTGTTATATAAGGAGGCATATAATCTTTTCCATTACCTGCTGGGTCTGTAATACCAGCTACAACATGTGTATGATTTCCTGCAGTTCCACAGAAAATACCTGTGCTAACATCTTTGGGGTCAGTTGTGATATCATATCTATGCATTCCCTGTCTATCCGAACCCGCTGCAAGATTTGTATAACCTCTTTTTGTTATTGAATGTGAATGGTTTCCTTCCACAGATGTTCTTCCACTGAACCTATGCATATGTGAAGGAAGGTTTTCAATACCTATTTTCTTTGAACCTCCCATCTTCATTGACTGCGTATTAGTGTAGAATGGAAAACTGTCAACTATTTCATACCATCTACCACCAAATAAAGTGTTTGGATTTATTGGATTCATAGACGTATAAACAGCTCCTATAGGATATATTAAATCATATATGCTCATAACTCTATAAACATATTCTAAAGAACTTATGTCATTAAATACCATTTGGAATGTATCTCCCGGATGAAATGTTGCATTTGTTCCACTTTTATAATGTAATGTTAGTTCAATAGAATTATCCAAGAAAAATTCAAAAGTATCTGGTTGAAGACCTCTAACAAATTCAAATGGAGTTGCTGGTTCACCATTTATAATTTCTGTTGTAAATGTCATTGTATCTGGTTTCGAAAATTTCTTTGTTAGTTCTGCATCCACATAAGTTTTATCTGCTTTCTTGTCATATAAATCTTGAGCAGTGAATTTAATATTATGTTCATCCTTCATGACATAAACATCTTTACATCTAATGTTTCTCATCGTCGTTATGTCGTCATCCGATGTTAAACCTTGTGGAAAGTTAGGAGGTTTACAATATAATACATCCCCACCAGTTTCTTCAACCGTTCCTTCAATACTTTCTATAGCAACAGTTGTAAAACTTGTATGTGTATGAGTCTTATCTGCTTTCTTATCTAACATTGCTGGTAGTTCATGTGTTTCAAAGTTTCTGACATGATCTTCGATATTCATACATTTGTTATTTAAGGAGTTTAGTGTATCTTTTACGCTTGTACTTGGATTCTCTAAAGGTGCACTTGAACCAAGGTCAAAGTTCAATATTATGTCGTCTGCTCTAACAGTAGTGAAGGATTTATGTGTATGATTTTTGTCGGCTTTACTGTCTAATGTAGCTTGAAGTTCATTTATATCGGAGATGTTGTGTTTATGAGATTTCAAAACTTTGTTCGTTGCTTCGAGTTCATCTTTGTCAGCTTTACTTTTAATAGCATCTTCAAACGTTATTTTTGACTTAACTCTCAAAGTAAATCTTGGTTCAACTAGTACACCGTTAACATTGAAAGTAGAGGCATAAATTTCAGCGTTATAACCAAATGCTTCTGGTGCTTTAGCTACATCATACTGTACAGTACAGCTTATGTCATAACCTTTAGCACGAATGTATTTATATCTTCTTTCATTAACATTTTTTGTCTTCGCTTCATCACTTCGTGTTAAATATCCATGGTAGTCCGTTATAATCTGTTCGTCTGAAGTTATATAATGAACGTGGTTTTTATCTGCTTTTTCGGCTAATTTCTCATTAACATCATTCACTTCTAATTCAACTCTTCCGCCAGAACTCTTATTATCATTAATCTTTTTCATTAATTCGGTAATTACGTCATAAAGACTATATTCTGTTTTCGGTTTTGTAAATAATGAGTCAAAATTTCTTTTCATCATTACATCGCTGACATTAATGATATCACCAATTCCTTTTTCATTTATTCTCTTCATTAATTCTGCAATAATGACGAATATATAATCTGTTAATTTATTCTCTTCATCGAGGGTTATAGAATGTTTTGAAATTGAATCATTAACTCCTCTAAATAAATCAATAACTTCAGGATACACGTTTTTAATGTCTTGAATAACCCGACCAGTATCCTCGCCACTATGTGGCTCTGAGCCCGTTGGGCTCTGTTGTTCATGTTCTTCGTTCCCGTCGTTACGTGGTTTTATATCTCTAACCATCATCAACGCAGCCATAACCGGAGGGTTTGTTGCTACCTGTTCGAAAATCCGTCCGTTATGTATGGTATATCTAAATAATTTCTTTGTGTTTGTTAAAACATTTGAAACAAGTCTTTTAAAACCATCTACAAAATTTCCTGTTTCACCTAATGTTCTTGCAGCATTTACAAGCTCACCCATTCCCGCTTTTGACCCAAAAACGTCCATATTGCATTTATTTCACTCTGTATAGTTGTCCATTCAGCGAAACTAACACCCGCATTCGCTAAGCTGAAAATGAAATTCAGTGGATCGAACTTAATTCCACCTCTTTTTTCAATTTCAACGAACTCACTAACATGAGATTTTAAATATTCTTTCGTTAAAATTGTTTTCCCCGATGTTATGTCATTAACGAAACTATCACCGTCAAAAGTTAACGAATTCAATTTCGTCGTTGATGCTTTTATTTCATACACCGCTTTACGATAGTTTTTGGCTCACCTTCTTTAGAAGCATATGAAACATTAATGAATGAATTATATGTATTCGTGAATGAATTAAAATCAATGATTTTCATTAATGACGCCTTTAATGATTCATTAACTGTTGAATCCTTAAAGTAATTAATGAACTGTCGTTAATGAAAGGTACACTGCAAACCGTCGAGTTTGGATCAAATGCTGTAGTTGGTGCAGGAATATTAATGATATAAGTCATTAAATCATTAAGTGACGTAAAATGTTGTCGTTTTTGATTTAATTTCTTTAGCATCTGTTATATATGGTAATTTTATTTCTGTAGTTCTGAATTAAAGATATTCGCTAAAATGTTTGTAAACTGTTTTGAACAGCAGTATAAACCGTTGAATTCGGAAACTCTTACGATTTCACCATCCTTAATAAAAGGCATTGTACATGACGTAGTGCTTGGGTCAAATCTTTCGGGATTATAATTCAACATATATTCTAACGCTTCATGAACAGACCTATAAACAGTTGTGTCGTTCTTCATGACAACTTCACCATTTACAATGAATGGGCATGTACATGGAGTTAAAATAGGGTCAAACTTTTCATAGTCCTTCCATGTTATGTATTTCTCGGTAATTTCCATCAGAAATAACAATATATTTGTCAGTAAGTGTGAGAGAGTATTGACCAAAATATAAACGTTTAGCTCTGTCAGCTTCATACGCATATGCAGCAATACTCATATTTTAATGAGAATAAAATGTTGTTCTATTTGCAAAGTACAGACCCAAACGAATACGGAACAGTAAAGCTACAAACAAACTTAGGTCTTCAGAATGAAGCGCTTGCTTTCAGAGTTGTTGACTTCAATACTATCGCTTCATTCGTTATAACAGATGAAACAGATTTCATGGAGCTTGAAATAGATGGAAAGAAGCACGAAATAAGATTTCACAATAATGTAGAATATAAGATGGAAACATTAGCTGGAGTGTTAAATGCTCTCATAAATACTACAATAAACAAGGAGAACGAAGAAAACTTAATGAATGTTAAACTTATTGCAGGAGTTTTGAAGTTCAGTTATGCGAAGGAGTTTAAGATAACACGAATGAGTCATAGAGTTCAACTTCTTTTAGGAGCATACCATATGACATGTCCTTTGAAAAGTGTTGACAAAACGATTGAGATGAAATCTGTTCCATACGTATGTTATGGCAATTGTTTGTACATTGAGTCAAAAATAGCTAATGTCACAGGTATTTCAGGAGTTAATAGTAAAGGTTCAGTAGAATATAAATCCTTCTGTTATGCAGTCAATTCAATGTTCATTCCAAACGTTCCTGTCATAGTAACTCATTTAGGTAAATGGGTTCGCATTAGTCCTCATAATTTGAAAGACATGCAATTCAGACTTGTTGACTTTCAAGGAGAGCCTGTAGAACTGAAGGCACCAGTGCGAATGACTGTTGAAGTTGACTTTTTAGAAAATATTAAATGCAACAGCTTACAAGAGAACTCAGAGCTAAAAATATAAAGTATGAATGTTATGTATTAGGTCATGAACTTTGGTTGTTGCTGTTTGATGAAACAAATGAGTTAGTTATGTCAGTCAAGAGAACAGAAAAAGGCGTCAAAGGCGCCGAGCGCAAAGCGCTATATTGTGTTAGTGAAAACTGCACCAAGTCAATAAGATTAGGTTTGCATTATGAAGATGAGTTCGATACTGTTGAAGAAGTTTTGGATAGATATTACAAATTGCTTTAATTTACTAAAACATATTTCAAACAAAGCTTATATTTGTTGAAAGTTTTGTATACTCGTTCGAATATTTATACTTAAACTCAACTCCTGTAGTTCCTGGTGTTTCAATGATGCGGATGTTACCTATTTTCATGAATGGTGGCGTTTGACCACAGCATTCGATTTCAGGGTCGAGATAGTCAATGACACATTGTTTCCCTGTTATTCGTGATATAACATTTTCAAGGTCCTCCTTTGTTAGAATTATTTGGTTCTTACTTATAAGATTTGTCAAAAGCTTCTTATCGTCTTTTGAGTAAAATTGTTTGGTATAACTGAAGAAGGTAATGGTCTACGTTATCTGAAGGATTTGTTTGAACATTTATGTAAGGTTGTTCGTTGCTTCTCTGAAAGAATTTGGTCCAGTGGTGGATACTCTAACTTAACATCTGATGTAGCGTTAGCGTTTGAAGCTGAGTTTAAATTCACGGATTTCAGTTCTGGTTCTTTTTCTTTCAAACACTCTGAACTATAGTTCTTTATGACAATATTGTTTGTCGTTCGTGAGTCAACATTTGATGTTGGTTCAATTGGAACATTAACGGCACCAGCTAAGATGGATTTGCTTCTCATTTCATATAGAATAAAAACCTTTTATATGTATGAAATGAACAATATACTCGACAAGGGTTTGAATGTAAAGCTAACGAATGAAAATATTGTTGAATTCACTGAGACAGGTGCTGTGTATAAAGATGTAGAACTACTGAACAAAAGAGCTAAGGGAAGAAGCAGGAACATGAACAAAGGGTGGAAGCCTATAAAAATTTATGTCAATGATGGCTCAGGAGGTTCAAACATAAAGTATGCAGAAAGTTATAGAGTTTATGCGCTAAAAGGTGAAAAGCCTTCATTTAAGAACAGCTATTCTAACGCATATCCTCAAAAGTTAACGGATGGGGAAGTGGATGATATGAATGACAGCAAAAATATTAACAGAAATGGCGACAGAGATGCATGGAATTTGTTTACCATCAGTCAATTGAAGGTTAAACTTTAAAACAATGTTGGTCGTTCCCATGGAATATTTTTGACTTTAATGGTATTAGTCATGATATGAATCTCAAGGTATGAACGAGGAGAGATGAGAGACTTATATGCTTCCCAAATTTCTTCAAAAGGTAATGTTATACCTGACTGTTTCCAAATGAGTTCAATGTCATAGCGTGAGAAACCTTGAAAGATAACGAAGTCAGTTATGAGACGTTTTATGTTTAAAGCTAAAAACCTCCATGTTTGCATAAGTATTGCTACAGTTAAGTGGTAATGTCTGACTTTAGTAATGATATTAGCTAATGGTGAGTCAGGCTTTGACACTAAACCTTTTCCGGCGAAGTCGTCGCAAACGAGCAGAGTGTTTGAAGGATACTTTTTGAAGGGGTATTTTGAAAGTTTTGATAGAATGTAGTTTGTCAGTCGTTTCATATCGTAAACTCCTGAGTACTGACGTAAGTGGTGTTTGTCAATAATTCTTTCCATCTCTTCTGAAGTCTTTTGCATTCCTGACTGTATGAACTCTACGATGGCATAATATTTCCTCTTACGTCGAATGTAACGTTGAAGAAATTCAATGAGTTCACTGTCTGGAACTTTAACGACAGAGGCTTGAACTTTTGACATAAATGTTTTCGCTGTTGAGTCCATAGAGTCTGAAGTTGCTGATATAATGATTTGGTCATAATATGAATCTTGACCTAAACGCTCTGTTATGAGTATATGACGAATGAGGTTAAATGTCTTACCTGACCCCATCTTTCCACAATAGAAATAAACACCATTTGAACAGAACTCATAATCTTTGCTGAAAGGAAGAATGAGAGAAGAGTTAAGTTTGTCTGTAGTTTCATTCATGTCTTCATCTACGTCATGTATTAAATGCTTCATTTTATCTTCATTAAAAATGCAAGTCAGAAATATTCAGAACATAGCACCGAGTCTAACTGACAAGAGTATAAAGATATACTATGAACACGTTATGATGAAACCTACCAAAATTCAAGAAAGTCAGTATACTTATGAATATCCAAGGCACTGGGTAGAGTATGTAGGAGGTGAGAAAGCTATTGAAATAAGACAAGTTAGAAGTATTCCAGCAGGAAGAACAATATTATTGAAGAACTTTAATGTTTTGAGATATAATGATGAAACAAAGAAGCAAGATAGTTTTCCTGTTGCTGTGTATGTGAACCTAGACACAGGAGATGACATGAAAGTTTTTAACACAAAGCTTCAAACGGTAGTGAGAGAACAACTGACTGCGGAAGGGCATCCATTACCTTCAGAAGTTAGCATAGCATATAATTTTGAAACAAACTCAATAGATTTTAAAGTCGTCTCTGCAAAGAAGTCAGGTTTTACATTTAATGAAGCAGATGTATATTCGAATGAAAACTTCAAAGCTATTGCATGGTTAGATAATGACGATTGCTTTAAGAAAATATTTAAATTCAGTGACTCAACGATGTCAATAGATGACCTTCGTGGAATGTTACCATCGACGTTTACAGTTGAAGGTTCAGCAGGATTGCTTACAAGATTGTCAATTGGTGGTATTTGGTCTCGTGAGAACATTGTTATAAAATCCAGTATAAGTGAATTTGCTGAAGAATCTATATTATGTCTTTCAAACTACATGTATTCGCCGCCGAAGCATTATAGTATAACAAACTTTGTCAGTAAGTTTAACATAAGACTTGTCGAACCTTCTTCAATGAAAGATGTTGTGCTACCAAAAGACGGAAAGGATGGACTCATTATTGAGATGATTTTAATTGCATATTAAATGAGCTTGTTCTTGAAGGTCATTCATGATGAAATAACTGTTGTAGAAGATGTTAGCAATTGTTCAGACATTTTGAAGCGAATAGATGAGATAAGAAAGAAGTTAGATAGACCGCAAAGCGGTGAGGGCGAAGCCCGTGAGAATGTTTATGTTTCATTGACTTTCTCCAGTAACGAGAACTTTTATGAGATAATATTGAAGAGAGATGATTTTAATATGGTGTAAATGGTAGCTTGGGCAGCTTTAGGCGCAATGGGAACAAAAGCATTAGCATTTGGAGCAAAAGCACTTGGAGCTTATGACGCAGTAAATAAAATGAGTGGAGGAAGGGTTTCGAAGACATTAGATGCAAATAAAGGAAAGATTGGAGGCTGGGTTGCAAAGAAGTTAAGATTAAATAAAATAGGGCTCATAAATAAAGCATCCAATTTGGTTGCGACTGAGTCAGAAAATGCTTTAGGAAAGGACGATGAGTTTGCAAAACATGCAAAAGACTTTAATGACCAGATGAAAGGTGAAACAATGCATTTAAATAGAGTCGATGGAACTCTTCCTCCACCAGTAGTTCTTCCGTATGGTCCCTATGGAATGTATGGAAACCCTTACGAAAGACCATTTGACCCATTGACTGGTGGAAGTAACTGGTATCATTACGGACGAAGAAGAAAGACAGTCAAGTTGGAGACAGACGTGAAGAAAGCAACTAAAAAGAAACCAAGGAAGAGAGTTATAAAGCAATGAATTCATGAGGTGAAAAAAGAGGTGAAAAAAGAGGTGAGATTTCACCACTTCACCTAAATTTATTTTTGCGCTATGTTTTCATACGTGTGGGAGTGGTGATATCATTAATTTTAAGTTTATTTTTTATATAAATTTTATTTTATTTTGGATGTAATGACGAAAACTATTGAGATAACAAACTACAACGGTCATGAGTTCAAGAATTTGTTCTTCGTTCCTCGTGAAAATACATTCTATCAGATACGAGGGAGAAAGGGTAAAGTTAGTTTGAGCGTTTATGAAGGAATGAAGAATGGAAAGTTTATACAAGCATACGATACAAACGGTAAACGTGTTTCATTAGCTTTGTCAAAACTTACAGGTATAAACTATGACAGTGATTTTGACTCTGACGATTGGAGCGACAGCAGCGATACTGAAGAATATGAACTATTGTGTGAAGCACAGCAATGGGAAGAGTTGCAATACTTTTGTAAATGAGAACGTTTATTTTTACAGTAGTGAAGTCGTTTGTGAAAACGTTAGTGAGGTGAATTGGTTGGCGGCTTTATAAATATTTAAGGTTAAGTTGGTGTTTGTGTTTGTGTTGTAAAATATACGTTAACGGTTTTGTAAAGTGTCAAATTCACATATAATGGGTAAGGAGGCGCGCAGTGCCTCCGTACACGACTTAGGGATACTAACTAACAATATATTGATTTCATTCATTATCTTCAATATGGAATTTATGCAGAGATGCGTGCTATCTGCAATTATCGAAAAGATTCGCATTTGAATAAAGATGGGGTAACCATTATCAGACATTAATGTAGATGGGGAAGTTGCAGTGCTAACTTTGCCTTTGAAATGAAATCTAATTAATACAGATTTGTTAATGGACATCATTTTCATAATCATGTTGGTGAACCACTTTCTTTTAAATATTCGCCAAAGAGTATTTTTCGCAGAACTTATCTTCAACAGTATTTTATTAGTGGGGATAAATGTTTTGAATGGAATGTTTTGATGGGATGAGCCTATTATCTGTAAGCTAGTTCTATTCAATTCCACTGTGTTTACATAAGTGAAACTAATATTGACTACGATCGTCGAAATCTAACATAAGGTTTTTGGAAACATACCATGGAAGCAATATGGTATATGAAGCAATGTATTCTGCATCATATACCACTGTGATCATGGTTATGATAAAAAAAATGGAAATTTTTTGGGCGATAAGAAAAATTTGGAATAGTCCTGGACATCCACCTCCAAGTCGTGATGCCACAAGTTTACTTGAGAAAATTCTGGAAAATAATTCGACATTTTGGCAGAATTTATTGAATTTTGGACAGAGTTTTCTTGCATCATTAATACAGAGGTGAAATGTATGGCATCCGCACGGGATGGCTAGATGTTCTGGGGATTTTCAAGGATTGATGCAATTGCAGACCATTGGACTCTAAGATTGTCTGCCACGAATCCAGCAACATCAATCTGGTAAAATCTCTTGAGAAAATCTGTAATATGTGAGAGGACATGTTCATAAGCCACTTTCGTGTCTGTGAAATTCGGGAATGTCTCTAATGGAAGTGGCTTGAGCTGAGATGTTGCGCACATTATTGAGCTCGTATGATATGATCTTTTATCGAGCTTTCCGGCATCAATTGCCACTCCAACTGATTTCTCCTTTTGAAATTCTTTTAGCCAAAGATCTTTGTGTATTTTGGTTATACAAATCAAACGTTCTTGGAGGTTGTTCCAAGTTGGCAAAAAATTGAGAGGCCCACTTGGAGATGAATTATCAAGAATGGATATCCAAGCCTACACATATGCCATTTAACTACACTAACATAGACCTTCAACATATATTGGTTTGGACTATATATTATATCGCATCAAAATATAATTTTTCAAAATTGCATGTTATTCCAATAATATTATTTACACAATTAGCACTCATTATATACATATATGTTGCACTATTTATATGTGCCTAAGTGTGTTTGATTATTACGTCAAATTATTAGTCGAAATGAAAAAGTGTTATAGAATGTATTAAAGGGCATACTTACATCAGTGTCAATGCATACGTTATATGAGAGATATTATTAATAAGTATTTAAGAGATAAAATTGAGATATTTATTAAAAAAGAATTTCTATATCTTAAAAAAGTGTGTCAAATTTGATTTGACAATGTGAATATAATTTATTTCATGAGTGTATTTGTTCTGTGAATGTTTTATGTAAAAGGTCCAAGATTTTTCGGAATCTCCAAGATATTCGCATCAAAAAAATTGTTAATTTTGATAAATGTATATGTGTGTTATTTGCTATATTATATAGATACATGTTATGTGTATTATGAACTAGTGTTATTGAGTATTCATTGAGATATTATCACATCAAAGGTGAAAAAAGTGACGTTTTTCCGAGCAAACCTTGATGCTACAAATTCTATGGTTATCAGCTCTATTCTTAATTTTGCATAATAGATAAATATATAACTATTAGTAATATTGTGTGGTATATTCAGATAGGCTCAATATTAACTATCAAAAAATTTCTTACGTGGAGCACATCAAAAGCATTCAATTTTTATTATATCTCGTGAGGGTGATGTGTTATGAGCTTATAATATATATGAATAATATCATTATATATATGTCCAAATATGTTATAAAAGATTGAGGCTTGTTGAGTGGGTTTTGAGGTGTGATTAAAATGCAATCAGCACATTACACATAAGCTTATATTATCCGAGCGTATTTTGAATTTGATGAGTTAGACATTTTATTTTGCGATGTGTATTATGAGTTTGAGCTATTTTTTGAGAAAATATAATTTATATCAAAAAAAAAGTTTGTCTGTTTGTACTCATTTGGTTATAGATATCTTATAATAATATATACTTTTCATTTATATAATAAAAGATGTGTACTTACTATTTATTTTTTGTGATTCTATGAGAAAAAAGGTGATATTTCCCCGAAGGAATTTTGATCGAGCGAATTTTGTGTGTGAGTGTGGTAAGATTGAGATGACAGCTGAATATATTATAGCACTATATATACTAGTATTCTATCATATGCTATAAGTGTGTATGCTCAATATCCACAGAGATATAAATGCGTTTTTGTGATGAAAAAAGACAATTAACGGGGGTCAAAAAACGATTATTGTGTGTTATGTGAATGAGCCATATATATGAAGTATATGTAAGAATTCATTATGTAATATTTGTTTAGAGTTCTGCAGAAATTTCGCATAATATATGGTGTCCAATGGTTAGTTTAGCATAAAGCTATTGAAGAGATGTAAAAAATTGCACCCAATTTTTAGCCATTTTGGCTGAGAATTGGAGGGTGTGAGTACTATTGTATGAAATAGTATCTCACACCCTCCAATTCTTCCTATGACGAGAAACAAAAAATACGATCGTTGAATCATATGTTTTGAAAAGAAATTATATTTTTTCACATTGTGTGATAAATGTATAAATTAATTTTTTATTTAATTTTCATTTTTAAAATTTAAGTATTCAAATTTTCGCACCAAAAAATAATGTTTTGCGTCACTTTTTCTGTCATTTTTTCGGGTCCGATTTCCGTACGCCACAAAAATTATTAATTCTAATGTCTACTTTTAAAAATTCAAATAATATCGAATTTTCATGCACAGATTTAAGATACCCAAAGATGATTAACGATTTAAATGCATACACTTCGTCACATTTTTAAGATATGCTTCTTATATCTTAAAGTAAAAAATGATCCACAATAAAATATTTTATGATACAAGAGTTCTGTCTTGAAAATGCCGTCACTACATGAATAGATAATACATTGAAGGATACGCGTAAATTTACTTTGTTAAGGCTCGAAAAGCAAAAAATATCAAAAAATACAACTTGACTCCATTATGACCCTTTCATGGAGGTAGTTTTTATCCGCTAGTATTTTCCCTTTGAATCTCTTTACAATTCGAAATCAAATTCAAATCTCAGTAGAAGAAAGGAAGAATCGACTTACTACGGTTGTAATACGAATAAATACATATATTTAATTATTTTTATTTACATAATAATTGTTTGAAGCTCATATTCCAACAAATTTTTAAATAAAAACATTAAAATGTTGAAAATGTTCATATATTTTAATAGGGTTTTGGCACTTTATTGAGGAATTACTACATACATAGTCGAACTGAACTTGATATTTTGAAATTTAAATTATTTATCAAAATTAAAATTTAACTTGAAATTTATAATTATTTAGTCATATTTTGCATAATTCTAAGTAGATTTTGTAAAAAATCAAGATAGAAAAATTTTAACGTGCTTTATTTTTTCTTTTTTATAATAATACATATTATTATATACCCAGATTTGCTTTACTTTTACCACCCCCATAAAATTTCTGAGATAAACGATTATTATATTTTTTATGGTAGAACAGTATATGCTTCTATAAAGGCACTTAAATCTTTGATAAAATACAGTGCCGGTATATTAAAATATAAAAACTCGACTTTTTCGAAATATGATTCTTTGATCCTTTTGTATCCAATGTCATATTGTGCTTTAATTTCCAAAATTTTGTATACATCTTCCTCAAAAAATTTTTTCTTTGGTCTTCCTCTTTCTTTTATTGGATAGCCGAGTAGTACGAAAATTTTTTTCAAACGTTCTTTTCCTATTGAAAGTGTTTTTGCCGTATCTTCGAGAGTTACATTTGGATTATTAATGTATTCTTGATATTTTTCTTCAATTACGTTGAGAAACTGATCGGCGGGAACGGTTGGGAGTTGAAAAGTTTTAAGATCTTCTGGGTTTTCGAGACGAACCAAGATATCTTCCATTTTTTAATTTGTACATTTTTCAATTTTTCAAAAGATAATTTAAAAATACTAGTTATTTGATAAAATTTGTTTATTTTAAATAAAACAATTTTTTTGAAAAAATTATATTAATGATTTGAAGGCAAAAGCCAAAAACTTAATAGATAAAACGCTCTTTCTATATAGATCAACTTCTATTATTAAATTTATAAAAATGGAGAGATTTTGCAAATTATTTTCTAATATATTATATTTATAATCATTTTATTTATCCCATTAATAATTGTGAACCCAGAACATCTTCCCTTCAAAGTGCCAAGCATCAACACACATTCTCACTCACAAATTTTTAAAACTCATTGCCAAAAATCTAAAAAACTCACAATTTTTTTAAATTGATAACCCTCAAACCGTTTCCAATCAATAATTTGAGAGTCTATATGATAATGTAAAAGTTAAAACATTCAAGTATTTAAATATTTCTTTAAAATATTAAGTTTTTTATTTTTCCAATAAAATTCTAATATCAAATATTTTTATTTAACGATTAATTTTATTTATATTTTTATAGTTTTTTTTAAGAAAAAATATTGTTAGGGTTTTATGGATTTTCAATTAATATACAAGATAATTCATGAATGTATATATTTCCAAGTTTTTAAGGATGCAACACTTTACATTTGTAAACTGTCAAAAATGAAGTCACGCTATTTTTCATGCATTACAAGACTATCGTATCGATTCATAAATGACTTCACTAAGAGGAATAAGTTGTCATTCCGTATGATACGAAGCAAGAAAAGAGAAGAAGTCGACCAATCTCAAGTAGAATTGTTCATCACAGAAGTAAATAACATTATTGAATACCTTCCGTTAAACAGGATCTTCAACATGGACGAGACTCCTGTAAATTTTGTTTTCTTACATGGAAAAGTTCTTGCCAATGTAGGAGATCAAGTTACAGCTCATCTACCTAATGATTTCAAACAATCCTTTACAGCAATCTGTACAATTTCGTTGGATTGTAAGTTATTTCCAACAATTTTCCTAGCAACAGGAAAAACTGACTTGTGCCACAGACAGTTTGATGGGATCGAAACGAGATCTCCATACAAAATAATGCATTCTGGTGGTAACACAAGTACAGATGTAATGTTAGACTATCTTGAACTTCTTCATGATTGGGCAAATAAAGAACCTTGCGCTCTTCTTATAGATCAATATAGGTCTCACATAACATCTCCTGTTGTTGCTAAAGCTTCCAAACTCAATATAGAGCTCATCTACATTCCAAAGTCTGGTACTGACAAATACCAGCCTCTTGATAGGCGTGTATTCGGAGCTGTGAAGGCAAAGTATGCAATGAAAGTTGCTGATCGCATCTTTGAGAATTCGACTCCTATCTCCAAACCAGAAGCTGCTTCCTGCTTTATCCGAGCATGGAACACAGTCAGTTTAGCCACATTGATAACTGCTTGGCGCATTCCAGGTTCAAACCTAGAAAATTTCGATCAAGAAACTCTAGGAGCGCAAGCAGATGAAAGCGATGATGAAAATTCCTCTAGTGATGGTGAATTTGAGGAGGATGAAGAGCCTTATTCCGATAATGAAGATGATGATGACGATTACCATCAATAAACAAATAATTATGCTTTGTTTAACGATTTTTTGATTTCGAGATTTGATCATTTTTTAAAAAATCAAATTAGCAAAGCAACATATAAAATAATTAATAGCCTACTATTAAGCATTTTATATCTTCAATGATTGGCTATGCATAAAAAATCTCATAATATGAAAAACAAAAGTGAGTTATAATACGGTGTAAACAAGGTTATTTGCTTATAAAATGGATCTACATCAATTTTGTACTATGATTTATGTTAAATGATGATTAAATACCAAATTTTTGATTTGATTTCAAGAAAACAAACTGGTATTTGGACGTTGCAATAATAAAAGAAACTTATTTGTGTATCTAGTTTGGATTCTTTATACTAAAACAATCTGGTATGCATTAGTAAGTTCTGCATGATCAAAAATTTGCTCAATAAAGAATAATACGGTTTCTATATTAGTGTAATAACTGCATGTACAATGAAGTTACATTTTCCTGAAAAGAAAGATTCTTTTGCCCTTGAAATATCCAAATTTTGTATTTAATGAGATAAAAATTCTTTAAATTTTAGTTATCATTTAATATCGTGCATTGCTAGGTTGTATTGGTAATAATGACTTGTTTGTATTTGTAAAATTCGCAATGAGAAAGCTGATAAATTGATTTCACTGTTCCATTAAAAAAAAGATAATCGTTTTTCTCAGAATTTTTACACAAATAAAAATAAATAATATATATTATTTTAACTAGATGCATTGATTTACTTGCATTTTTTTCATAAAATAAAGCATATTTTATAAATTTTTTTTCAATCTGTAAACTGTTCACAAAACCATTTTGCATGGTATAAAAAGGAGTCTAAGAAAAAAGTATAAAAATTAATGAAGAATATAAGTAATGTTTACAAGTAGTCAGCAAATATGGATAAAAAAATTTCAAGCTAAGTCGGATAATTTCAATGTTTCGTAATTATGTAATAATTACAATGCCTATAACATTGGTCTAAATCAAATCCAATTAAAAACCATAGATTTTGTAAAAAATGAGATTTAATGCAAATATTTTCGCCGTTATTCAAAGATTAAGAGTTGTGGTTTGGTGCCGAGGTTTATTTATGCTTGAAGTTTATTGTTGTTATAACATTTTTAGATGAAAGTTCTTTTTTGCGTAGATGCGATTTGAATTTTTTGAGAACTTTGAGTTTTTTCGCGCCTATAATGAGCACTTTCAACAAAAATTGTTTGGAATTGCATACAAATGAGTTTGGCCTTAAAATTGTCGATAGTGTCTGCATAACTATGGATATGCTCGATCAAATGAGGAGCAAAAAGGTCCAAAAAAGGGGCTTTTTGCAAGATTTTCACTCTCGAGCTTACATTCAACGATGCTTTCAAAATTTCAATCAACAACATTTGTTTACATTTCACATGTTGTTGCTCAATATGTTAATCAATTGTGGCATACTGATTTGAAATTTCTGAAGGACGATAACGGTAACCTTCAATATTTAATTTCATTTCTTGATGACAGAAGCAGATACATTATTTGCTGGGATGTTTTCGATACAAAAGAAATGAAAAATACTGCCAGAGTATTTCGTCACGCAATTGATTTAGTCAAATTAGTTCCACATGGAATTCTCACAGATAATGGAACAGAATTCATTGGAAAAGATTTTGAAGCGGTTTGCCAAGAATTCAATATAAAACATTTCAAAACTCATCCGTACTCTCCAGAGGAAAATGGAAAAATTGAAAGGAGTTGGGAGACTCTTTTCAAGACAAACCCTGGAGTGAACGTCTTTGAGTTCATCCCCAATGTTGTTTCCCAGTATAATAGGGTATGGAAACACTCCGCATTATTCAAACTCTTTGGGGAGAAATTGACTCCATTTGAGGCCTGGGAAAGAGGCCCCAGATGGACAAAAGATCTCTGCGCTGAACCAGGCTTCGAAAAAAATCTTAGAGATTAACAAATAATTTCAAAAACAAGAAAATTCAAAAAATCACAAAAAGGAAGTTAAGCAATAAACACTTACATTTATTACATTTGGATTTTTTAAAAAATTCAGTATTATTTTTAGAAATAAGATAATATAGTTCTAAATAAAACAAAGAATGTTAAGAATGAAGAAGGAATTAGCGCATGCAGCTGAAGCACACTCACAAATTACTCTCAATATCCACTCAAATCATACAAAGTTTTGTCGAATAGTTTGATATAAAGACAAAAAATTTACAATTTTTAATTAAATCCGAACAATCTTACATATGCAGCTGAAGCACACTCACAAATTACTCTCAATATCCACTCAAATCATACAAAGTTTTGTCGAATAGTTTGATATAAAGACAAAAAATTTACAATTTTTAATTAAATCCGAACAATCTTACATATGCAGCTGAAGCACACTCACAAATTACTCTCAATATCCACTCAAATCATACAAAGTTTTGTCGAATAGTTTGATATAAAGACAAAAAATTTACAATTTTTAATTAAATCCGAACAATCTTACATATGCAGCTGAAGCACACTCACAAATTACTCTCAATATCCACTCAAATCATACAAAGTTTTATATTTTCATTTTATTGTTTCTTAATAAAGAATTTACTTTAATATTCTTAATTGTTTTCTTTTTATATTTAATTTTTGATATCTATTTTAAAAAACTTATACAAATTCGAGTCAGCTAATAATTTAATTGAAAAAATAAAAAGAAAACATATAATTTTTAATCCGTCTAATTGAATAAGCAATATTATAAATATTATGTTAAACGGTTAATTTTTTCTCAAAAAAAATTATTTCGAATTTCCGAAATTTTTGACATTTTGGCTGAGAACTATGGTCTGCGAGGTACATAGATAGAATCAGTACCTCGCAGACTATAGTTCTCTATATGGCGCCGAAAATTTTTGGTGAAATGTCGTCGCATTTCACCAAAAATTTTTCGGCGCCATAGGAAGAATTGGAGGGTGTGAGATACTATTACATGCTATAGTACTCACACCCTCCAACTCCCAATCAAAATCGCATAAAATTTGCTACTTATCTTCAGATTACCTCCCATTATAAAATATATCATTGCTATCCCATCGTACTATATTTCCACCCTATTGTATTTAAAAATATAAATTTTTTGATAATATATTTTTATATCTTGAATTTTCAAACAATATATTCACAGATAATATAATGGGAAATCTATCTCAACCTAGCCTTAAAGTACCAAACTCCTGCTTGCATTCTCACTCACAAATATTAAACATCCATCTCCAAAAAACTAAATTCTTCACAATTTTTTTAAAATTGAGAACATAAAAAACGTATGCATTCAATAATTTAAGATACTAACAAATATTACAAACTTCAAAATATCAGATATTAACGTTTTTCAATTAAAAAAATATCATTTTGCTTTTCAATTCGAACATAAATCTTAAATATTTTTAATTAATATCTGATTTACAGCATTATTATCCATTTATAAATCTGACAAATAAATGACAAAACCATCATAAATAGTGTCACTTTTTGTCAAAAGTGAAGTCAGGCTATTTTTCATGCACAACATTAAATGCCTTCTTCTTATTGCTATTCCGACATTTATATATTGCATTCGTAATAATTCTGATATTTGTTGTGTTATATACGAAAACGATAAAAACGGTTTGACAGAAAAGTGACAACTTTACGTGTCAAAAATATAAAAAGTGATATTTTATTCATCATTATCTTCTTCATAATTTATTTCATATTCTTCGTCTTACCAACAAAAGATGGGAATGTGAACAATTGCGGGCAATTTTTAGCCATTTTGGCTTGGAACTAGAGCCTGCGAGGTACATGGATAGTATCAGTACCTCACAGGCTCTAGTTCTCTATATGGCGCCGAGAAATTTTGGTGAAATGTGGTCGCATTTCACCAAAATTTTTTCGGCGCCATAGGATGAATTGGAGGGTGAGAGATATTATTTCATACAATACTACTCTCACCCTCCAATTCCAAGCCAAAATGGCTAAAAATTGCCCGCAATGTGAACAATTGCGGGCAATTTTTAGCCATTTTGGCTTGGAACTAGAGCCTGCGAGGTACATGGATAGTATCAGTACCTCACAGGCTCTAGTTCTCTATATGGCGCCGAGAAATTTTGGTGAAATGTGGTCGCATTTCACCAAAATTTTTTCGGCGCCATAGGATGAATTGGAGGGTGAGAGATATTATTTCATACAATACTACTCTCACCCTCCAATTCCCAGCCAAAATGGCTAAAAATTGCCCGCAATGTGAACAATTGCGGGCAATTTTTAGCCATTTTGGCTTGGAACTAGAGCCTGCGAGGTACATGGATAGTATCAGTACCTCACAGGCTCTAGTTCTCTATATGGCGCCGAGAAATTTTGGTGAAATGTGGTCGCATTTCACCAAAATTTTTTCGGCGCCATAGGATGAATTGGAGGGTGAGAGATATTATTTCATACAATACTACTCTCACCCTCCAATTCCAAGCCAAAATGGCTAAAAATTGCCCGCAATGTGAACAATTGCGGGCAATTTTTAGCCATTTTGGCTTGGAACTAGAGCCTGCGAGGTACATGGATAGTATCAGTACCTCACAGGCTCTAGTTCTCTATATGGCGCCGAGAAATTTTGGTGAAATGTGGTCGCATTTCACCAAAATTTTTTCGGCGCCATAGGATGAATTGGAGGGTGAGAGATATTATTTCATACAATACTACTCTCACCCTCAATTTTAATTACTTAAACTCATTCTATTTTTTTGACATGTAAATGTCACTTTTACTGAGATCTGACACAATGTCAGATCTCTTTTTTTCGTATATAAGAGTTGTTCTTGTTCGTTAGTAAAAAGTCTCCTTCCTAATCCAAAATTCTGTCCTGGGCGGTAACTTCTATTTACCTTCCATTTGCTATGATAATAGTTGAGCGATCTTCTCTTTATGTTAGTAAGCCTTTCTAATCGACAAAAGTTTGGAGGAATATGTACATTTGAGCAAACTTCAAAATAATCAAACACTAATTGAATGAGATCAACCTTTAAATAATATTTTGATACCTCTTTTGATATGCAAATTCACCACTTTCTAATTGGGCTTCTAATAATGCGAGACTTAGGTGCCCAGGATAGTATTCAACCATTTTACGTACGTAAAATAAAAGTGACAAAATAGTGAACGATAGGTGTTTTCCCCAGCCTTAAAGGGGTGGTAAAAGTAAAGCAAATCTGGGTAATTAACATATTCATAATGTTTCACCCTTTCAAAAATATAATCCTCCTCCTCTCAAATAAACGTACATACGGGTGGCCTCTTTTTTCAAAAAATTAAAATTTGAAATTTTGGGCTCAAATATTAGAGATTTTTTCAACCTTCAACGATATATGTTGTCTATATCAGACCTCCTTTCTTTTTGATACTTAACATTGTTCCTAAATCTTAGCCGTTAAGACTGTTCTGAAAATATTTTTTTTTCGAAAAAATTCGAAAAAAATTCTTAAAATTCAAAAATCCCTTAATTCCTGAGGATTTTGGAAAAAAAGTTTTTACATGAACATGTGTATATTATATGAAGTATATTGATAAGGTAAAAATCAAATTTTATTGCATATTCATCGAGAAAATAAACTAACGAATCCCTCAAAATTGAGAGGGTAATCCTCCTCCTCTCAAATAAACGTACATACGGGTGCACCCTTAATATCTTATGAATCATCCAAAAAAAATTCAAAAATTTAAAAATGAAAATAAAATCTACAAATTTGCTCATAAAATGATTATTTTCATAAAAATTTGGAAAATATGATAGCAATATTTATTGACATAGATTATAAAAACATCAGAAAAATTCCCGAAATGCAAAGATTAATGAAATTTAGTAATTAAATCTATTGATTATTATTGGTTTTGAGATAATTTGTGATGATATATAGATAAGCATCGGCATTTATATAAGTTCATATAAGACAATTATTATCTATATAAGTTCATATAAGACAATTATTTTTTCCCCTTCAGAGTTAAAGAAAATAACAGGAAAAATGGCTTTTAGAAAACAAGTAAAAGATTTGTATATGTAATTTTTATTTGAATTGGTTAAAAAAATTTTAATAAGAAAAATTGATCAAATTTTTGATCATCATTTAAAGCAAACAGCATATTTTTTTCAATTAATTTATACTTGATTCCTACTTTTCGTATTTTTAGTATCTTTGAAGTGATTGAATATACTTTTTGAAACAGAATGCAAAAATAGTAAAGCTATCAAAAGCTTTAGTATTTTAAAGATGATTCATTAGGTTTTTTAACATAAATTTTTATTTTGAAAAAATCGATTATTTAATTAAAGGATTGTGTATAAGATTTTGATATTAAACGTTGCTTTAGTAACTAAGAAATGTATTGTGATAAAGTTATTGTGTTAGGTTGAAGTTGGGTTTGGAATATCTTTGCATCAAATCCGAATTTTCAAATTACAAAGATTTGATGCTATCCCGATAATATTCGAATCATTTCCCATTATACCCTTAATTGGATGGACTGGAAATTAATTGTATAAAAAGTTATTCAGCAAGAAATAAAAAATGTGCACGTTTGGAAAAAAAATTCGTGACTCCATCAGTCTGAATTTTTTTCGGCGTCATGACGCCGACCCCAAAAAATACCAACAATTGAGAATTTTTCATGGTATTTTCCGGCAAATGCCATGTAAAATCTTTTCAATTATTTTCCACGTAATTCCAAATTAATAAATATTGACATACTCATCTTAAACATATTAGAATGCAATGAACGCACTATAACCAACTGATAACCAGACATTTTACTATATTATAATACTATATTATAATACTATATTATTCTCAAAACCTTACCATATTACCATAATACTATATTATTCATAAATAGACAAACATATATGATCTTCCCGAGTTGGAACCCCTCCGTAATATTCACTAACTAATACATGTTTAAATTAAATATTAACAAAAAACAAAATATACGATTACCAAAATTTTGGTAATGGATTAGTTGAAGGCATCGTTGGTTTGTATCTTGGACAGCGAGTGCGGTGATATGATTCAAATTCATATTCTTCATTGTCCTTTATTATTTTTTGCTTCAAGTTTTCATATTTTCGATACATACTTGAGCTTGAAATGATTCTGTTGAACTTCTTTTCTAGTAATTTTAGCTTTTCAAGTTCAATTTCGTTTTCATATTTCTCGGATTGATCTTGTTGCGATTCACCAACATCTGAAGATCTTATTGTTCTAATAAAATCGCCATCAGACATCGAATAATAACTAAAAGGAAGTGTGTCGACGAGGATTATATTTTTATAAAGAAATAGACAATTGCATGAGTAATCTTTTTTTAGGCATGAAATAGAACTATTTGGGTCAACGACAATGACGCGAATACCTTCGATCTGATCCATTGTTCTCAGAAGTAAAGTTGACGACGAAGTCATTTAAATAACACTTTTGAGAAAGGAATTCAAAACTTAAAAATATTTGAATAATCGTTTTTGTGAGCATTTAACTCATCAATTATTATGCACATGAAATGCACCATGATAAATACAATTTTCTTTAAACTAAGTTTGTATTCAATTCCAGAAGTTTTTTTTCGGTTTCAATGTATTTGAATTTTCTTGATCGTTTGGTATTAGCATAAATACGCGTTCTAGTTAATTTATTTTAATTAAATTTCTTTTGTAAAGTTCTCAGAAAGTTGATTTCGAAGATGCAATAAAGCTTAATTCGATTTAGGAATATCCTTTTCTTACTGCATGTAGTTTAAAAACTTTGATTATTTATCATATAAACATAATTTTCATTTGAAGAAATCAAATTTCACTTCGATCTTATGCCAAATATACTCTAGAAATATGATAATTATAATTTTTGTTGGTTTTCCATTTGTATTATCCATTTAGTTACTTTTTGGGATATATCGAAGTAAAATATTTTTGAGAAGAAGAATTGAAATTTAATTTATGACATGTTCGCAATTTAAGGGTGCACATCATTTTAAATGACTACTAAACAATTTTATTTATGATCAAATTTTATATATTTTTTTGGATCAAATCCATTTTAATAGAATTTATATACTATTCATCTATTAGTAAACACTACCGTATATTATTTTTTAAGCTATCTTATTTTTTGAAATTTTATTCAAATCTTTGGTCGCAAGAAGAATTGCATGATAAATAAAAACATTTGATCAAAGTCAATTTTATTTTTCATATTCAAATGGACTGAGTGTTAACATTTAACATTTTTTGCTAATTGTCGTCAAAAATTAGGCGTAAAGCAAAAATTAATATTTCATATGGTTTTATGATAGATAAGCATTATATTCCCACTCATTATATTCGTAAATTTTGAGGTTTATCCTTCGCTTTTAACATCATTGAATTTGATTTTTATATAAAATAGTTATATATTAGAAAATAATATGAGTTTATGTGATATTATTTTTCAGAAGATTTCATTCTATATGCCTATGAAAAGTACTCTCAAAACTAACTTTTCCTAATTATAATTAAATCTAGAATATTGTATTATGCTTAGTATTATTTCATTTTTCTCATTCAATTTAGAATTTACAAATGTCAAAAAATTGAGAGCTGTCACTTTTGATGAATTTCTGTTTATTACATTTCAACCTTCAACGATATATGTTGTCTATATCAGACCTTCTTTCTTTTTGATACTTAACATTGTTCCTAAATCTTAGCCGTTAAGGCTGTTCTGAAAATATTTTTTTCGAAAAAATTCCAAAAAAATTCTTAAAATTCAAAAACCCCTTAATTCCTGAGGATTTTGGAAAAAGTTTTTACATGAACATGTGTATATTATAGAAAAAATCTCTAATATTTGAGCCCAAAATTTCAAATTTTAATTTTTTGAAAAAAGAGGCCACCCGTATGTACGTTTATTTGAGAGGAGGAGGATTATATTTTTGAAAGGGTGAAACATTATGAATTTGTTAATTATATAATAATATGTATTATTATAAAAAAGAAAAAATAAAGCACGTTAAAATTTTTCTTTCTTGATTTTTTACAAAATCTACTTAGAATTATGCAAAATATGACTAAATAATTATAAATTTCAAGTTAAATTTTAATTTTGATAAATAATTTAAATTTCAAAATATCAAGTTCAGTTCGACTATGTATGTAGTAATTCCTCAATAAAGTGCCAAAACCCTATTAAAATATATGAACATTTTCAACATTTTAATGTTTTTATTTAAAAATTTGTTGGAATATGAGCTTCAAACAATTATTATGTAAATAAAAATAATTAAATATATGTATTTATTCGTATTACAACCGTAGTAAGTCGATTCTTCCTTTCTTCTACTGAGTTTTGAATTTGATTTCGAATTGTAAAGAGACTCAAAGGGAAAATACTAGCGGATAAAAACTACCTCCATGAAAGGGTCATAATGGACTCAAGTTGTATTTTTTGATATTTTTTGCTTTTCGAGCCTAAATAGGTAGCCAAGATAATGCCTAAAAATAAGGTTCTAAATTCTGAAGTTTACATGATCCTCTCGTGTGCACCCTTAAATTAAAATTAAATCATAAATCAGAGAGGAACCTAGTGGACACATGAATTGGCTGTAGTGAATGATGCAAAATTATCATATTATAATGCTTGATTAATGAAATTTTGAAATCAAAAAATTATTTTTCTTTTTTATATTCTAAATTAACTCAATTGGAATACTAGGTTATGATATGTTGGAAGTACTTTCAAAACATCATAATATCAATCTCTTAAACTTTTTACTTTGGTACCAAATTTTTTGAGTGAATGATGAAGACAGAAAAGCTAGTTTTGAATGTAAATCCAAAAGTTGAACTGATTTGATAGATATATATTTAATGCATAAGATATTTTCTAAACATCATAAGAAAAAATAAACATTGGTTATAAAATACAAAGTTATATATATACTACTCAATTAACATATCAATTCTGTTTAAAACTACAATTCAAACTACCAAAATTATTTATTGATAAGAACAATCAGTTCTGATCATAAGCTACCACACAAGTCTATATATCAATTATGTTTTTATCAATAGCAACATAATTTAAGAAATGAAAATTCACTTTCTTCATGTTGAGAAATTCATATTTCTGGAATTTTTAGTGTTGCTGCAACCAAGTATTATTCCATGTTCTTTATAAAACTAGAATGTCATTAATATGGTATCTTATAGCGATTGCGACATATATCGATAATTGAAATATGATATGTGATATATATTCCAATCTGGAAGAAATTTATATGAAATGATCAGAATTGGTTTAAGCTAATTCTCTTCCATCATGCGTCTTGCGCTTGTAAAATAAATCAATTGTGTAATAATAGTTTTGGAAAGTGTTGTTTCTCATTAAGAAGAAAGCCATGAAGTTGTCAAAATGCCAAAATCAATGTTATAATCTTGTTTAATGTCGATTTTAATTAACTAATCTAGAATGTTTGATTTTTTAGATGTACGTTTAAAATAAAAAAGAAAATGGATGATGCTTCAATAGTTCTTCAAAACTTTGATAAGGAAGTAGAATGCAGATGTTCGTTTATTAGATCTCACTCCGAAAATTTAAGCATTAACATGCTTAGTGCACTTGATCTTGCGCTTATGGGAATTCCAGAACCAGTACGCAAGATGTCTGTTAAAACATTGATGACACAATATGATGGAGATATAATTAAGGCATCAAATGCATTTGAGCAAAATGAAAACGAAGATAAAACGCAATTACAAAATCAAAATCAGAAGAGAAAAGGCTACCAAGCAAGATTTCCGCGTACTCCAACAACTGATCTTACATCTCCATATGGACACCCGGTTAAAACTACAAAAAAGGCTCAGCAAAAATAATTGTATTTAAGTATTTTCTATTGTTTTATATTTTATAAAAATAAATTATCTATTATAAGTCGCTTTTATAAAATGGGATCGCCTGTCCCAGTAAAAAATATCATTCTTACACTTTTGAATGATGCTATTCTATATCATTATGGAATAGACTTGAAAGTATTTCAATAATTATATGAAGTCAAATGATTGAAAATATAGATCATCTTCATCAATTGGTGCTTCAATAGAATCAAATATAACGCTATTTTCATTGTAACATATGCACTTTTGTTGGTCTGGATATCTTATTCCGGGAGTAGCAAAACAAGGATCTCAAGCACCTAGATAACTTATAACCTATATATACTCTAACAATCATTGACATTGAGAGTAAGAAACATTCATATTATCATATTAGTTCTGATATGAGTTATTATGAAAATGGAAAAATCGGCTCACGAAGCCAAAATCTCAGGTTTCAATAAGTAACCAATAGATAAATATTTTCTTTTGTGTAAAAATGATTTTATTAAATGCATAAATGATATTACGAATGTCATGGAATAACACACTATTCCACAGTCTTTTTCTGTTTGAGTAACTTTGACCGACAATAGAGTCAAATGCATTCTTGAGAGTCTGCGTATTTTATTCCTGGAAGCATTGCCTGTACATGTCTCCTTCAATGACACACTGTTCCATAATCTTGTTCTGCTGATTTCTTACGGTAATTTAAAAAAAATGTTAAGAATGTTAATGTTCTTTTCATAACATTTATATACGGGCTTCATTATGATGAACAGCGCTTAGAGTATTTTTTAATAAAAAAAATATAACAATTTATTCGAAAATTATAACACATTTCTTACATATATCTATGCTTGAACCAAGGGGTACATTGAATGAAGCCAAATACAAGCAATCCGATGACTTCTGCCGTACTAATATAAATCAAGTAATTTACAATTGGAGAAACAGACTTTTTGACTGTCATTATTTGGTCAAGGAGCTGTACTTCTGATTCCTCAATCAAAATATCCTTAATTGAAGAAATTTTTGTCCTTGCTTTTGTTAATGACAAATTAACTGTTTGGTTGAACGAATAAAATAGTGCTTGTGTCTCGTTAAGTGACGCCGACATAATTTTGTTCGCTTTGGCCACTGCGTCCATGATCTTAAATGTTCTTTGGTGCCAGGAATCAGTATAAGGCACCAAAGTATTGGTAATGAAGTCATTGAGCTGTCCATATGTTGCAACTTCGTCAATAACTTCTGCAAACTCTGATGTAATTTTGAGATAATCTTCAATTGTTTTGTTTGCGGCTTTGAGGTCGCCTTTCGTAGTTTCGTATGTTTTGAGTTCATTCCGCATTATAAAGAATGATGGATTTCGTAGTTTTTCTATCTTTTCTGGTTGAACTGTTGAAGATGTTGAATATGGCATTCCTTGGAATGTCCAGGCTTGCTTCCTTCGATTGCTAATCATGTCATCTGTGTTAAATGTGGCATTGAACATCTCTATTTTAGAAGTATAATCATCACACATTGCTGAGATGCCAATCCAGCATTTCGATATATCAATTGTAATAGGTGCATCTGTTATTAATGTTTTTTGGCCTTTTGAATCTGTATGTGTTGCATTTATTGTTTTATTGAAAATTGAAAGCGTAACTTTGAAATTTTCGTTATCGAGTGGTATTGATTTGAGACAAGGATCAATATCTTGCATTACTTTAAATGTTTTTGAGCCATCAGATTGATAAATATTATAATGTACAGTAGGATTTCCTTCGTTATCAGCAAAAACAGCACCAACTAATACAATTCCGCTAAATTTATCGGATATTCCATAAAATGGACCATCAGAACTGTGCGTTGTTATGATAGGAATCGCAAATCCGCCTCCACCATTTCCTTGACTAATTTTGAGATCAAAAGTAATTTGCCAATCACCATATGGGAGTGGTAAAGAACTCCACGCGGATCCTTTTCTGTATTGTATTGGCGGCGCAAGAATAATTTTTCCTTCTTCGATAATTGCAGCACCACCGATGTTCCAATAACCGATTTGATTGTTAGAGTTAGGATAAAATGGTGGAATTAAGTCGGCAGACTGTTCAAATCCTTTGAGATGGAGAAAGAATAAAGAAAACATTTTTTTTATAAAGAGATTTTTTTCTCAGATTTTAGACTTGGCCACATGAATGCATAAGCTATTGCACAGCAGAGATATGCAAGACAGGTCATTTACAATAATATACTGCTGCATGTTTACCATCTCATTTTTGATCCTCCTCATTTTTCAATTTTTGTTTACTTCTCATTACTTACAGTCAAATTGTATACCATCAAGAGAAGCAGCCAATAATAAGTACTAGTCACCACTTATTTTTGTATTAATGGTATTTTTATAAATTATTCTTACTGAAATAATGGTATTTTTCATTGAAAAAGCGTGGCTACTCAAGTGTTCTGTATGTAGCATGTTATTACTTTATAGAATTATGAAGATAATACAAAATAAAAGTAAATATGGAAAAATTAAAAAATGTAAAGCAAAACATGAATTTTTATTTGAATGTAACAAGTATATAAGCAATTTAAAGGTGAATTTGTGATCTGTTAAGTTTAATGAGAAAGAAAATGTATTTTTTATTAAAAAAATCGAAATTTTTTTTGAGTGATTGGTTGTTTGCATTTGAAATATGAATTAATATATAGTGCTATGGTTAATCAGTGAAATGGTATTTGGAAATAAAATTTTCGATTTTGTTTAATTTTTTTATTGTTGAGCATGAGGAACTTCAGTAACAAAGCAGTCAAACTCAATTTGTGCTTGATAAATTGCGCGCATGAATTCTGGAGAAGATAATAATGAAGATTTAACTGCTTCTGGCTTTTCTTGCAAACTTTCTTTCAGTCTAACCAGAACTGAATAAATTTCTTCCTTATCTCTGCTGAGAAGTTCTTTTGTCATTGGTTCCAATTGGTTGCTCATTGATAAAATGGAATTTGTAAACTATTCAATTTCTACCATGGGATTTCGTTACTCATTAGATATGTATACATCTACCAATTCTAAAAATAATTGACTTTTTATGGTTTAATGAAAGCTCCTCAGTTTGCAGGGATATGAGGGCACATAAATCTTGTCATCCAAAGTAAGTAACAAGAATCTATGTATAGAAATCTGTGGACAAATTGATTGAATGAAGCAAAGACTATATCTTCGAAAAAAGAGAAAAAAAAGCAAAAAATCGAAAACTGGGAAGTTTTACATACTTAACATTCTTTATTTTTGGCATAAAATATCATGTAAAAGTTGTCTAAAGGACAAAAATAGACTATTATGTTGTATATTGAGACGTTATTAGTTTTAAGGATAAAGATAAAAATAACGCGCGGATAATGCCCGAAACTCTCTTTTTAGATGAATAGTTCTTATAATTGGATCAATTCTTTATTCTATCCTCATGAATAGCTCAATCACATGTAAAAGATATTGATTACAAATGATCAACTTGTGATAATGTTTCACATGTGCAATGGTGTCATGTACTTCTAATTTATTGGAAATTCGAATTAAATCAAGAAAAATCAAATCTGAAATATAATGAAAATTTAATCATTTTATATTATTTGTAAGTGACGATGTGTGAATATCAATAATTTTACTATAAATTAGGTCCAATTAAAGATGAATTTATAATTGCAGGGGGTACGAGAAAAAACGTTATTTTTTTTAATAATACTAACAGAAAATGAGCTATTCAACTTATGCCCCAACATTTAAAGTTCCAGAAGGTTTTCCAGAGCTTTTAGCAGAATTAACAACAGAGATTCTTCGAGAACAACCAGTAGACGCTACAGGAACATATAAATTCTGTTATGAATTCTTCCTTCGCAAACAGCAGGAACAACAAAATGGCGGACAACAACCAGAAGCTACCGAATAAAACTATTTTTTATTGCTCTTGTATTTTCAATATTTTTATTAAATAAATTTAAAATTACATGCCATTACCTAAACTACCTTAAAACTGATTTTCTAATGCAATATTTTACGTTAATAAATGCATTCAATCTTAACCCACATCTGGAAGTATCCACTTAATGAGTTATTCTAATTGAGTCTAAAAGGCTTAAAAGTATTTTGCATTAAAGATTTTAAAGTTAAATCAAAGCTGTCATTAATTGAGTGAATTTTGGGATATTATCTCATATTAATACTTTTTTATCCATTTAATAACTAATAAAATATTTCCACTATGAATTATTACATAAACAATGCATGTGTAGTCTCAAAGATGTCTTTGTTTAAAATATATTTTCAAATGAACCAAAAAAATATAATATATATACAAGGTTCACAGCTCGAAATAGGCCAGTACTTCAACGTGTTATGGTGTAACTGTATGTTTTACAAAAATTATTTGAATAAAATGAAATAAAAATTATTTTATCTAACATAGAAATCAATTTACAAAATTTAACATTCATCAACCGGTCGCGGTTGAGCAGCGTCTTTAAGCTTTCTTGACAATCGCATAGCTTCTGATGTATTTTTATAAATGTATCCTAAAAGTACGCGGCATTGGTCTTCATATGTTGGATCATCACGGCGTGTTTGGAGTTCTAAAAATTCATCAAATCTTTCAATTAAAATCTGTAAAGCAGCCAATGAAGCGCCTGTTGGATTTCTTGCTGCCAAACGCTTTATTGTTTTTAGCATTGTTAATAGTGATGGACGTAATGGTGATGGAGCTAAATCTATCCTTGATTCATCAAAATCAACTGTAATATGCTCTTTTTTCTGTAAAAATTGATCAAATCTTTCTGCTATATCCTTGGACTTTTTGCTACTTGAAATGCTTGTATTAGTTTTTCCAAATTTAGAATCGGAATCTGTAAAACCATCAGATTTCATTAATTCTCTCTCTGAGTTTTGTAAATCGCTATGATTTAAATCATAGCCATCGTTTGTCATTTTGCTATCGCCCTTCTTTTTATCAGGCTCATCTTCTCTTTCAGAAGTTTCTGGAGAAATTTCAACTGGAGAGAAGCTGGAGCCTCCAAGTAAGCTTACTAATGAACTTTCATGATTTTCTTCCCCCTCTGGTTGTTTTTCTGGAGTTCGAGGTGTCGTCATTTGAAGTGTACGTTTATTTTATAATTGAAAACCAACGATATTATATAAGGATTCTTTTTTCAAATGAAATATCCATAGAATACAATAATATAGCCATTTTATGGCTCATAGCTTAAATTATTTCAATCTCTGTCGAAAAAAATGTTTCAATAGAGAATTTGAAGTGATGAACACTTGAATATTATACCAGTTTTAGCAAATTTCAAATATTCTATAGATGGGACATCGTAATTCTTGGCTTCAGTATGGTATAGTTTTCATATTAGTATAAACAAAAAATAATTCATACCTGAGAGAAGCTCAAACCATCTCCAATATCTGCCAGTGAAGAATTCGAGCCAATTTTGTAGATCAATCCTTCAAAGATTGTATTGTGAATGCAAGAAAAATAAAAAGGAAGAAATTTTACATCAGGAATGAAATAAATAGTTTAGTAAAAATAATCATTGCATACAAACATTAACTAATTTAACTCAAAAGGATGGTCACGCTTCAATGTTGTTAGTCTCTGAACAGAAACAGCCTTTGATATTCCTTTCTTCATTGCCATTGGAATTGGCTTTCTAAATGAAGGAGGGCGATCTGTATTCTGGTGAGGTATTGTTGGTAATCTTGGTGCTTTATGAGTGAAGAAATCTAATGAATAAAACTTTGACTTTGAACGGAGAACATATGTTTTAACTGGAGGGAATGTAGTTATTTCGAACGAGTCATTCTCCAAAAATACTGCAATTCCACATTTATTATTTGTATTATTGCAATATTTTGAAGCAGAAAACACGGTCATACATTTTCTTTTGAACATAAATTCTACGCCTTTCTCAACACATTCGTGCCCTCTAATAATCATGTCAATTGCATTTCTATCGATGAATTCAGCGCATTTATCTTCGCCAAAGAAGTATCCACAACCACGTGAAGATGGTTGAAATCCAGTAACGTATGGACTTGGGTCTGACCAGAGTATAGTTTGTGATAATTCGTCAACATATCCAACAAGAGGCCTTGGAATCATTTCGAGTTCGGATATTCTGGAAAACTGTGGACCAATTCCTCCATGGATACATAGATATCTCATATTAATGATTGCTGCAATTGGAATTTCGCAAAAAGTCATATCGAAAAACGGAGTTACATCACTATCTTTGTATGTGTTTCTTAGCTCTTCACCAAATCCTCCTATGCGATACATTTCTGCAAATTCATGGTTTCCTCTGATTACATATACATGTTCTGGATAAAGAACTTTTAATAGTAAGATAATTGTGCATGTTTCGAGTGAAAATTCCCCTCTGTCTACAATATCGCCGAGGAATAAATATTTGTTTTGAGGTGGCCAGCCTGAATGTTTGAAAATTCGGAAAAGATCCATTAAATGACCGTGTAAATCACCTACAACGATGAATTTTCCATTTAAGTGCATAATTTTTTCATCTCTTCGAAATGCTTCCGCTGCACATCCACAGATATGTCTTAATGTCTGAATATCAAGGAGAGGAAGTGCAATTTTATTATTATCATTATCTACACCTGGTATTGCCCTTTTAGTAAAGCATTTATAAACATCATATAGGTTTTGGATATTATCATTTAAAGCATTCATTGTTTTACAGAAAAGTGACGCTTTCTGAATTTATTAATACAAGTATGTTCAATAAATATAGAATAAGATTTAAGTGTTAGTAGAAATTGAATCCTTTCAAATAAAAAAATTGAACGGTTTGATAAAACAACTGATATATGAAATATACTATTGATCATTATTATTGAATAAAAAATTGAATTGATAGAAATTAATAATAATAATCGTATGAAAAATCCTATTTCAAATTTATTTTAATTTTAAAATCATGAATAAGTGATAATGAATGCTCACTGTAATAAACAGAAATTCATCAAAAGTGACAGCTCTCAATTTTTTGACATTTGTAAATTCTAAATTGAATGAGAAAAAAGAAATAATACTAAGCATAATACAATATTCTAGATTTAATTATAATTAGGAAAAGTTAGTTTTGAGAGTACTTTTCATAGGCATATAGAATGAAATCTTCTGAAAAATAATATCACATAAACTCATATTATTTTCTAATATATAACTATTTTATATAAAAATCAAATTCAATGATGTTAAAAGCGAAGGATAAACCTCAAAATTTACGAATATAATGAGTGGGAATATAATGCTTATCTATCATAAAACCATATGAAATATTAATTTTTGCTTTACGCCTAATTTTGACGACAATTAGCAAAAAATGTTAAATGTTAACACTCAGTCCATTTGAATATGAAAAATAAAATTCACTTTGATTAAATGTTTTTATTTATCATGCAATTCTTCTTGCGACCAAAGATTTGAATAAAATTTCAAAAAATAAGATAGCTTAAAAAATAATATATGGTAGTGTTTACTAATAGATGAATAGTATATAAATTCTATTAAAATGGATTTGATCAAAAAAATATATAAAATTTGATCATAAATAAAATCGTTTTAAATTACTTCTTCATTTAAATTATAACAATTATTTTTGGTTTTATATTTTTTGGATCAAATCCATTTTAATAGAATTTATATACTATTCATCTATTAGTAAACACTACCGTATATTATTTTTTAAGCTATCTTATTTTTTGAACTTTTATTCAAATCTTTGTCGCAAGAAGAATTGCATGATAAATAAAAACATTTAATCAAAGTCAATTTTATTTTTCATATTCAAATGGACTGAGTGTTAACATTTAACATTTTTTGCTAATTGTCGTCAAAAATTAGGCGTAAAGCAAAAATTAATATTTCATATGGTTTTATGATAGATAAGCATTATATTCCCACTCATTATATTCGTAAATTTTGAGGTTTATCCTTCGCTTTTAACATCATTGAATTTGATTTTTATATAAAATAGTTATATATTAGAAAATAATATGAGTTTATGTGATATTATTTTTCAGAAGATTTTGTGTTCTTCTTCAAAATTTTATTTTTTATTAAAAAGAATCTTTACAAAATATACATTTACTTTAATTAATATTTAAAAACGTGCTCTATCAAAAGTTCCAAAAATTCAATATTTTAGCTTTTCTGAGGTGTCACTTTTGATGAATTTCTGTTTACAACACTATCAGTATACCCAGCTGTGAAAGGTATATTGAGGAATTAGGTTTGCAATATTGTAATTTTTGTTATTTTTTTCCAAATTGAGAGGATTTTTGACGATAGAGCTAGACTATTTTTGAACAACAATTTCATAACCTTAAGGGTGCACACGAGAGGATCATGTAAACTTCAGAATTTAGAACCTTATTTTTAGGCATTATCTTGGCTACCTATTTAGGCTCGAAAAGCAAAAAATATCAAAAAATACAACTTGACTCCATTATGACCCTTTCATGGAGGTAGTTTTTATCCGCTAGTATTTTCCCTTTGAATCTCTTTACAATTCGAAATCAAATTCAAAACTCAGTAGAAGAAAGGAAGAATCGACTTACTACGGTTGTAAATACGAATAAATACATATATTTAATTATTTTTATTTACATAATAATTGTTTGAAGCTCATATTCCAACAAATTTTTAAATAAAAACATTAAAATGTTGAAAATGTTCATATATTTTAATAGGGTTTGGCACTTTATTGAGGAATTACTACATACATAGTCGAACTGAACTTGATATTTTGAAATTTAAATTATTTATAAAATTAAAATTTAACTTGAAATTTATAATTATTTAGTCATATTTTGCATAATTCTAAGTAGATTTTGTAAAAAATCAAGAAAGAAGAATTTTAACGTGCTTTATTTTTTCTTTTTTATAATAATACATATTATTATATAATTAACATATTCATAATGTTTCACCCTTTCAAAAATATAATCCTTCTCTCAAATAAACGTACATACGGGTGGCCTCTTTTTTCAAAAAATTAAAATTTGAAATTTTGGGCTCAAATATTAGAGATTTTTTCAACCTTCAACGATATATGTTGTCTATATCAGACCTCCTTTCTTTTTGATACTTAACATTGTTCCTAAATCTTAGCCGTTAAGGCTGTTCCGAAAATATTTTTTTTTCGAAAAAATTCGAAAAAAATTCTTAAAATTCAAAAATCCCTTAATTCCTGAGGATTTTGGAAAAAAGTTTTTACATGAACATGTGTATATTATATGAAGTATATTGATAAGGTAAAAATCAAATTTTATTGCATATTCATCGAGAAAATAAACCAACGAATCCCTCAAAATTGAGAGGGTAATCCTCCTCCTCTCAAATAAACGTACATACGGGTGCACCCTTAAGCATTATAAAAATTTGAACAAATTTTATGACGTACTAGTATAAGTTATAATTTATTAATTTCCAAAAGAATCGATTTTATAAATAAAATTTAAACCTTAAACTAGATTATTATAAAAGTGACATTTATTTACTTTCAATAACTTAATCCCAAGGTAAGAAGCTAATCCAATCATATAAAAATGTTATAATTAACCACATGTTTATTCATTTATGATATCATTATGCTTCAAAATCTATAATTATAAAATTCAAATTATCAATTATCAAAAAATCTTTATTTGTCATATATCAAATAGAAAAGTTAACATATATCATCTTTCAAACTATAATATAGTTAAATTCGAAAATTTCGAAATCAGATATTATTTAAATTTCTTACATGGTGGATGTATAAACAATCTAATGGTATATTTTTACTCCTCATTATCCACTCGTTCTAACTATATACAATCATGTGGAACTAGAGCCTTAAATAAGTCTATAACATTTTGATTTTTTTAAATGGTGATGCTATTAGTTTCCATAACTCTGAGAAGATAATTTCGGCTGGAAGATTTCCCAAGTTGAAAGGACGGTGATAGTACTTTCGAAGAACTTCATTGGGTCCATCTCTGGATAAGAGTGATATCGTATGAAAACACTCATATTTAAAATCGACATTATTGAAAGTATAAAACATTCGATCACCAAAACGAATTTCATCGGCTTTCTCGAAAAATAATCTCACACCGAGTCGGGTTTCAAAAACATGAAAGTCGACCATATCAGGTCTCTCAAAAAAATAAGGAGTATATTTTTGAATCTGGATGTTGTATTTCTGGATACAATTTGGAATATCATTTGTTGTTAAAATCTCAAGCATTTCTGTAAATGAATGAACATTTTCGATTTTAATGTGAAAAGCAGCACGTCCAATGACAAAACAACCTGGATTATATTGAACAAAAAACCACAAAATTGCATTTGTTGGCGAATCCAAATCTTCTGCCAAGAAAAAAAGGAACTTGTTCTCTAATATATACATCTTTTTGGCGTTCTTTGAATAAATTTAATTGAAAAAATTCTGAAAAATTCGGAGGATTCGACATCATGTAGCTATATAGATAGTTGAATATCTCCGTATTTGTTAAGAATCTGGAATCCGTCCAGAACGAAGAGAAAGGTGCATTATTTAAAACCATTATTTTCTGTCACTTTTTAAAATTTTGATTGAAATTTTATCAATAAATTCAAAATCAAAAAATCAAAAGGGGTGCACTCCGGTCTATAGGTAATCATCGACCAAAATAGTACGCATTAGGCTTGGCATATGAAGCATAGCAATATCATATATGGCATTATTGAATTTCACTCGTTCTATGAATTCGATATCTGATTGCTAAGAAAATGTTGTAAAATTTCTCAGAATCAATCTCGAAAAGAATTGTATTGTTCGAGTTATATAGATACTATTAGTTTTTGATTGGAATCAACACTTTAAAGTAAATTTGAAATTCTATTTTTAAAACAAACGCTAATAACACTTATGCTGAAGTGATTCATTTTTTATCTTTTTCCCATGACAATTTGCATTTTCTGTAGGAATATCTCTGGATCATGTCTCTGGAATACCTTTTTTTTCCCTTTTAAATTAACGAATGATGGATAATTCCTTCAGATTTGTTAAGCAACACTCATGATATGGAATCTAACTACCCATATTTGATAATTTTTATTTAATTTCTTAAAGAAACTATGAAACATAGATTAGTTTGGAATCACAAAGTAAATGGTGTAGTTCTAATTAGAAGATATTTTGTTTTTATTCATTCATAACATTAAATTTTCCAGTACTTTCTGAGCTTTTGTACGAACTCTTCTGTAACATCATCGATAGGTTGGTTAGAGTTAACGATGAAAACTTTTCCTTCCTTTGTGTATTTTTCTAAAACTGGCTGTGTTTGCTTCTTGTAGACAATGATTCTGTTTGGAATGCATTCTGCACGATCATCGGCGCGTCCAGATGTCTTGCCTCTTTCTGAGCAGCGGGCAATTAAAACATCTTCTGGTGCATCGAGAAGAGCAACTGCAGTGCATGGTGGGAAAACCTTTTCGAAAGCCTCTGCTTGTTCGATTGAACGTGGGAATCCATCCATTAAGAAGTATTCCTTGTCGGATGATTCGATTACGTTCTTGATTGTTTGGCAAATAAGTTCTGGTGGAACTAACTGGCCAGCGTTAATGATTTCTGCAACCTTTCTTCCAATTTCAGTATCTGTCTTCTTGGCAACTTCTCTAAGGATATCGCCTGCAGCAGCATATCCAATTCCATACTTCTGAGCTATACGTGTAGCTTGTGTACCTTTGCCGCAGCCAGGACCGCCAAGAACGAAGATAACTTGTTTTGTAGACATGACCACAAATGAAACAAAATTTTCTGAACGTAAACAATTGAAATTTATTTTTTGAATGTGTAACTTAAAAGTAGCAAATTACTTTAAGATTATTATCCTGCAAATAATTATCCATCTGAGCCTTAAACTTTACATGATCGGAGTTCACAAGGGAACAGGACAAATTTGCCACACGGCACTTTTTTTAAAGAAAATTAATGGAGCGGAGCGATACTCTGCTGCAGGAGCCCCAAGGCTCCCAATCATTACGAAAGGGAGCCTCAGGGCTCCTGAGAATCCATCAGCAGAGGCCTTTTCATTTGGCCTCTGCTGATCAAAGATTCGGCGAAGCCATTCTTCGTCTCAGGAGCCCCAAGGCTCCCAATCATTACGAAAGGGAGCCTCAGGGCTCCTGAGAATCCATCAGCAGAGGCCTTTTCATTTGGCCTCTGCTGATCAAAGATTCGGCGAAGCCATTCTTCGTCTCAGGAGCCCCAAGGCTCCCAATCATTACGAAAGGGAGCCTCAGGGCTCCTGAGAATCCATCAGCAGAGGCCTTTTCATTTGGCCTCTGCTGATCAAAGATTCGGCGAAGCCATTCTTCGTCTCAGGAGCCCCAAGGCTCCCAATCATTACGAAAGGGAGCCTCAGGGCTCCTGAGAAACCTCTTTGAGAAGGTTTTCTTAAAAAAAACCTTCTCAAAGATGATTGTCAGCATTCACTCAAAATCTACCAAGAGTTTCAAAGTTTCAAATCTATCTGAAATGAAGCTTTGAATCTCTTGTATATCTAATTGTAGAGGTACCTTTTCAAAATGTCTTCTATTGATTAAATTTAATCAGTAAAAGTCATTTTGAAAAGGTACATCTCTATAATTGCTATTGAGCATTCACTCTTGGAACCTTGGAGCTCTTGTGTAGTGCATGAAAACTCCAAGATTCTAGCATAAAACATATATCATAGACATAATTTCTTCAAATATAATTTAAGGTTATTTTAAAAAAAATGAGAAAAACGTAATTTAAGGTTATTGAAAAAGTGACGCTTGGCAAATTTGTCCCGCACTCGAGTTCACAATTGATTGAGCAGCTTTAATTTCTGTGTCTGATTCGCCAAATTGACGATTGTCAATTGAGGTGAATTCTGGCGATAGTCTTATTATCTGTGATGCATTCTAAATCTTAAAATCGAAAATAGACGTTATCGATTTATATAACCACGTTATATACCACAGCTAGATGTTATATAAATAAGGCAAGAGACAGTAAAATTTCTCTTTTCAGATTATTCAAAATGCATAACATTGACGTTCTTGACATCTTGAAAAAACTTGAGCGTTCAAGCTATGACGACCATGAGTTTACACGTCAAGCATGTGCTGGATGTGGAAAGATCTTGTTTATTTAAAAAAAGATCGGATTTCCTCCATCTGATGAGTTCAAATTTGGGGGAAAAATAAAAAAATATTAATAAAATCTATAATTTAATACTATTTTAAAGAAAAATTATGAAAAAAGAAAAAATTAAATCAGAAATTTCTAAAGGTCAGCAGAAACCACTCTTTTATGGAGTTCCACTGGTTCGCTCAATAAACTATATTCGTCAGCAATCTCTTTTCTAATCTTTTTTTCAGAATAAGAAGGAACATCCAATCTTTCAGTTCCTTGTTCTTTCAGGAATGCTATAAGTTCACCAACTATCTCCAGACCATCATAAAGTAATGGTTTTTGTAACTTATTATGTCTGAATAAATAAGTTTGTGGAATTGTCCTTCCCAACTCCAAATTCGAAGGCATTTCGTTGAGACTTAAGTTATATGTGTAGAACTTAATGTTGTTTTCGCGGAGAAGTGAAGCGGTTCTGTTAATAACAAGTCTCATCTTCAAACAACCTTCGCATTGGCCACTGTAGAAGTATACAACGGTATCGGCTATGGACATGTTCAAAGTTGGCCAGAACGATTCGTAAGAAATCGGTTTCAAATACTTATTTTTAGTTGGTTCAAGGATTTCGGAGTGAACCGTGTAGTTCTTCTTACCGGAAACTATGTCTCCAACAAATTGGTCGATGTAGTTGTAGTCGTGCATCAAGGTTTGGTTAATAATGGTGTATCTATTGGAGAAAATTCCATCTGTTTCGAAAACAACGAACATTGGGGTGTCGAACAGATGTATCTTAGCATTCTCGAGGAATGAAAATGCTACTTTTCCGTAGATTGGAGCAAATGAAATTTCTTTTTCGTATTTTTTGCCAAGTTTATTCATGATATCGAATTCTAATTGGCACTTGGGATTGTCCGTGGTCTGTAAAACGAACCCTCCGAAATATTTCTTTGAAAAATATTCTTTTTCATCGAAATTCTGAACGTAAGTGTTGAAATCGTGATTGGAATCTTTGATTTCATGCAATATTCGGGCTAATGCCGTATATGAATATAATCCTTCTTTAACTTCCATGTTCAATAATTTGAAAACTGAAGGATTTACTTGGTAGAAATGCATGTCTTTGTTCATAAACTTTGGACGTGGATAATTACCTATGGAAATAACACATGTTTGTTTGGATGCAAGTAGTCTACGCAATACTTCTGGGTGTTCTATTGAATGATCGTTGTTTTCAAAGATATATTTCACCCAGCGAGTGAAATTAATAGCTTGTGATGGGACTGGTTCTGAATCAATGATTCTGCGACCATTCTTGAAAGCAAAAATGCAAGGAAATGAAGTGCATTTGTAGCCTTTTCCGTCTCTTTCTGATGCACGCGCAAACGTGACATTACTCTTGTAGAATTCTAATGCGAACTTAACGAAATGGAGCGGCCTTGTTCGGTCCGAAAACAACATTACTGTATTTTCGTGGGATTTGGCGAATTCTTTGATCATCTTACCAGATAGATATGGAAGTTGGTCAATTTCACCTGTTACTTCTTTCAAACGATAAAATACTAATGGAAAGATCATGATTTTTTTTAAAAAAAAATTGGCTGTCAAATGACATTCATTTGAATTCAATTTCAAAAAGAGATTCTCAATAATTTTCTCCATTCTATTGAGAATTGTCTCTATAAAAAAAATATATCATTTCTCTTCTTAGAATGATTTTTTTTGCCTGAATTCCATGACAATTACTTACGAAATAGCCTAAATAAGATAATAAATTGACATAACAATCCAGAAAATATAAATGGAAGGTAAAAATTGAATACCATGCTATCAATTAGAGATATTGGCTTTAATTTTTTGATTTTCTTGCATGATACCATGCTGCATCATTTTCCATTTTGAATTACTAATGACATGATACCTTATTGAATCATTGATTGCATCAATCCAAATGATACTCGTGTAACTTTTTGCAAATCAATAACATCCAATTGTATGCTCGCTTTACAGAAAATGTAAAACTTGAAGAAATACTATATTTTTTGAATTGTTACGACAACTTTTATTGATAGTTAATTCAAAGACAAACATTCATTTCTTAAATAACACAATATTGGATGATATATTTTTCATCTTCGGATTCTATACATTATCCATTGTTATGCTTAATATTGATAATTAAAATATTGATATTCATTTATTCAAAAATTTCTAATGATGATAAAAAAGATGATGAATCTAATGAAGACTTCCATTTAAAGTGTATTTTTTTCTCGTACTCTTTTAATTTTCTTCACAATACATCATCTTCTCCTTTTTGTTCCACTTATTTTTCCTTTGCACCGTGTTGTTGCATTAATATCCGCACCATGTGAAATAAGGAATTCTACCATATCTAGACTTTTTCCTGCTGCATAATGAAGTGGAGTTTTTCCATTTTTATCTTTTGCGTTGATGTCTAAACCATGTGAAATCAAATGCTCGGCTACTTCTTTCAATTTATGTTTTGCAGCCAAATGAAGAGCTCCTTCATTAAAAGAATCCGTTATTGTGATATTGGCTCCACTTTCGATGGCGCATATAATAGTTTTTGGAATTTTATAATAATAAATTGCATGTAAAATATTAAATTTTTTTGACTGCACTTTGCTTGAATTTTTTAAATATATATACAAGTAAATCATCAATATTGAAATCGAGTAGATCATTATCAAAAGAAGATATTTGTCCCGAATCAATTGCTATCAAAAATGCTTCAAGATTATAATAATCTGTTACAATATAACAAATATTTTGATGAGGAAAGTTGTTATTTAAATAGTTGAAGAAATCGATGTTGTGTGACATTATTGCATATTCAACACATTCACGAATATTTGAAGAATCTATTAAAGGTAATGATTCATGTATAATCCGTGGATTTCCACCTAAGAATGATAATGCAATCGAATAATCAGAAGGTTCAAAATTATGGTTCTGTATTAAATATAAATAACATTTTTCTGAACCATAATAAGAGCAAACTTCCAAAAGATTGAATTGCTCATTGGTGCAAGTTATATTTTTGTTCATTTTGATATTGATGTCAAAACCTGGCTGATTGACTATATATATCATTGTTTCAAGATCATCATTCATGATTGAATTAAATAATGATTTTGGTTTCAAAAGTTCGTAGTAGTCTCCAAAAGAACTGTCTGTTATTTGCTTGTTATTTTCGAATGCAGAGATAACATCTTTGATTTTAGCTACAAACCAATAATTTATTTTATTATTTTTAAGACTGTTAATCAAGTCATAAAGTTTTAAATATGCTTTCATGTAACGGTCCCTATAATAAATACAGATCCCCACTGTGGTTAAAATCGGCGATGTTTTTAAATTATATTTATTTATCAAGATTTCTTTAACTTTGATAAAAGTGCTTTCTACGCTGTCTTCTGTGAGTTGATGTATACTTCTCATTGCATCAATATAATCAGCATAGGTTCTAATTAAATCAGCTCCTGTTAATTCCTGAATAATGTCTTGATCCATTGCCATAACAAATTTTTTTTGGGAAAAAAAGCCAATTTTTTTTCTCTAAAAAAATCACACTTTTAAAAAGTCCACCATTTTGCAATTTCTGATTATTACCATAAAGAAAAACATCGAGCCCTGACGATAAGTGCTATTTGGTTGAATCAAAAAAAATCCAGAATATTGAGAGAACGTCAGAAAGTGAGTATTGCATTAATATACATCAAAAGTGTAATTCTCTCGTATATGATTATATTTGCTTCTAAAACCGAATATCATTTGAATCAACAATAAAGTAGTAGGGTATGACGGGTTGTGTGACTTTTTTTGTTACATCTATATATAGACGATGTATTAAAATATATTTATTTATAAATCATTTAAAAAATTAACATTAATTTTAAAATAATTTATTTTTTTATCTTTTATAAAAGAAGCTATATATAGATGATGTCAGATATTCCGCGATTAATTAAACATTGTTTAAATCCTGAATGGGTTAAACTTCAATTTAAAAAGGAAGACTGTGAATTATTAAATGAATATGAAAGCCAAAATAAGCTAATGAGGTATAAATATAATGATAAAGAATATTTAATTTCATGGAATCAATGGAGTCATAATCAAAGACCTCATAAACGAGAAGAAGAAATGGAAAATAATGAAATGGAAATCATTGATGACATTAAAGAGGATGGAATTCCTAAATTTTGTAGAAAAACCTTTAGAACTAAGTTAGGAGCATATAAACGTAGAGTATTAAATCCTGAATATCTTAAACATATATTTAAAAAGGAAGACTGTGAATTATTAAACGTTAATGAATATGAAAATGCTAAATCAAAACTGAGATATAAATATATTGGAAGTGATGAAAGGTGTAAAGATAAAGATAAAGTTTATTCAGTTTCATATAATAACTGGCACACGTTAGGGATAAGAAAACATTTAGGAGATTATGGGAAATGTTCTGAATTCTTTAAATCTAGTATATATGAGAGAGTAAAAGAAATTAGAAATAATTATTTTCATGAATAAAAGATTCACTACCATAATGAAATAAAAAAATAATTTTTTAAAAAATAAACTTTAAAAATTCATGTCTTACATTTTTTGAATAAATGAAGGGTCCCTCGGTCCCTCGGTCCCTCGGTTAATTAACATCTTTTTGAAAATAGTGACAACATGACATTTTGACAACAGGGAAAAAAAGGAGGAAATTCATGTCTTACATTTTTTGAATAAATCAAGATTTAAAAAATTGACTTCTTACGTAAAATTAAAACTAAGTTAAATTTATTTTTTTCATCTTTTATTTTATAATAAATGAGTATAACAACTAATTCATTGAAATCTTTAAAGTTCACTAATTCAGAATTAGAAAATATTTTAGAAAATTTTGGAGACGGTTCTTATCCAACATATATGCAGAATGTGAAAGAGTTTTCCAGATTGTTGAATGAATTTAAATATAACGGACCAATTACTAAAAAGGCTATAATGAGATATTTATATCCCAAAAAAGTTGAAAAACAGGAGAATATTCCTCTTTATGGTCCAGAGGACCTGGGCTCAGAGAGCCTTGAAACACCTCCTGAATATTTTGAAGAAAAAATTAAACAAGATGAATATTATAACGATGAGATTGAGAAATTGGAACAATTAAGAAATGAAATAGATGAAAAAATTAAGGAATTGAGAAATGCTGAGAATGAAGTAGAGGGTTTAATGAATATCCCGGCTTCAGAATCAGAAGTTCAAAAATCACATGAGGAAAGATATAAAAATTACTTTTTGGAATCTACTAAAAATTTATTAGATGGTGATATTGACGAAACACTTTCAGAAGAAGGCACAAAATTTATTCATAAACATAAGTTACAATTTATTGATAATGAAGAATACCCTGTATATTACTTTCACCACCTTTAGATTCCGAAAAATTCAAAAAAGCTCTTAAAAACGTGACATATGCAACTAATACGATTAAGAAAGAAGACATGATATTTACACAAATTATTATTTAAATAAATGCACAGGTGTTGATAAAGTTTTTGATTTATTAGATAAAATATCAAAAGAAACCATTGGAACCTATAAAATTTTGTGTGATTGTGGTTTCATTATTGAAGATACCACTAATGTTTCATATGAAAGAACAGCACCGAAGGAAGACGAAGTTGAAAGGTCTATACCATTCGTTATTAAGAACATAAAAGATATGAAAACTTATAAGCATTATATTTATTCATTTATTTCAGAAAAAATGGAAGCAACCCATAAAACATCATCTCATCATTTTATAGCTATTCATACATTCCTTTTCAAAGTTGTGAAATTAAATAAGACAGGAATTAGATTTAATGTATCAGGGTACACATTCTTGAGTAAATTAAAATGCATTCGTCACGTCGCAGATGATAAAAATTTATGTGTTCTTAATTCATTTTAGGGCTTTAAAAAATAAACTTTATTTTTATTTATTTTTTAATTTTTTTTTATTCTTACATAAATGAACAAAAATGGAACAGCTAAAATGAATGATAATCAAATAAGAGCCGAAGGTAGAAGGTTATTTAAACGCTTCTATAACATTCCTGATGGTTAATCCTAAAACTCGTAGAAGTTATTTAAATGAAGCATAGATGCATATGAAGGTTTGACATTTCATCAGAAAGTGAGAGATTAGCGAGAATGTTAAATGTTAATATTGATTTCTATTATTGTGATCCTCAACCAGAAGACGTGGACATAAATAAGGTAGACTTTCCATTAGTGGAATCAATAATGATAGATCCAGAATTTGAAACAGTAAATATTTTATTAACACAGAGTCCATGTGGAAAACTTCACGCTGACAGAATAACAGACGTTGAAGCACTCACAGGATATAAAGTTTGCCCTTTTGCAAAGAAGAAGTTTATTCTATCCGTGATGATCCAGAAAGGAAAAACCAAAGAAGATTTTTAAAACATTGTGAGAAATGTAAAGAAAATAATGGAAGATTAATTCAAGACGTTCAATTGCAAAAGACACAGCAACCATATGCACCACATATTACGAAACAGAAGATATATCAGTGGTTATTAGCTCATAATTTGCAGGAATATTATCAACCGACAAGATATTATATTACTTTTGACTTCGAAACATTAGAGACTAAAGAAGAACTTCTACTTTCTGAATGTGCAACTTTGAACGCTTACTTAAAACCATTTATGGTATCATCAACTGTCAAAATAAAGCCGCAAAGCGGCGAGGTCGTAGACCGTGATAAAACATATACGAGGAATTTTTGCTTAACTTCGAGTGATTCTTTTATTTCTGACTGGATTGAGTTTTTATTTTCAACCTGTTCATTAGTTGCTAAATCAAATATTGAACAATATGAAGAATTAATGAATACATTAAATGAGAAACAAAAGGAAGCAATGAAAGAGCTTTTAGATGAGGAATTCAATAAAGTGAATATCATAGGTTTTAATTCGGGAAAGTTTGATTTAAATTTAATTCTTCGTGATTTAAATACTGCAAAATGGAAGATAAAATCAATACTGGGTTCTTCTTCTCAATTTAAGCAAATCATTGTAAAGAAAACAAACACTCCATATGAATTGAGATTTATTGACATCAGAAATTATATAGCGGGTGGAACATTAGACCAATTTACTCAAGATTTCGGAAACAATAAAACACGTATTAAATCATTCTTCCCATATCAATTCATCACATGGGAGAATTACGAAGATGAATTATATAAAGAGGAACCATTCACTCAAGATTCATTTTATTCAGCATTAACACAAGAAACAATATCCGATTCAGATTATCAAATATATCTCAATGATGCTAAAAATTTTAAGAATAGATTAGAATATTTTATTCATTATTGCAATAAAGATGTTGAAATTATGATTGACCCAATTGATAAAATTATTGAAGAAACATTTGTTTATAAAATTGACATGCTCCATAATCTTTCATTATCATCTAATGCATCAATGATTCGTTACGCGTTAGCATATAAGAACTTCAATCCTAACGAAACATATCCAGAAGAAGAAAATGTGGAATCAAGTTTTGAATTAACGAAAAAGTATTGGAAATATAAAATTGAATCATATAAGAAACAAGATGAAAAGCAGAAAGGGATACTAAAAACAATGTTTCAATGGATGACTATCAATATTTTCACGATTTAATCCTTTCATCTAAATGTAAAATGTGTGGTAAAGCGTTTACATATGCAAATAAACCAACATTGGATAGAATCGATAATGAAAAACCACATACCAAAGAAAATTGTCAGTTAATGTGTTGTTATTGCAATGTCGTAAAATCAAATAAAGATGAAGATGTTCAACGTTTAAGAATCAATTTAAGAAATTATGCATTAAAAAATAATTTACCAATGACTTTAGATTCAGTTGAAGCTTATCACATTCTCCGTAATGGAATTACTGGTGGTCTATCAAATGTTCAACATCGTGTTAATCTTAAAGGAATCACACATTAATAAACTTTCATATAGTCCAGAAACTAAAACTGTATCAAATGAGGACACCACCAACATTATGACTCATTTCGTTGGTGTTGATTTAATTCATTATATCCTTCATCATTTTCATCTAATCCTCATGATTTCATTCAATATACTGACCATAAAATGTATATGCCGGGAAGATTGAATGGTGTTATCATTTGTGATACAGCAACAAAGAAAGCAAAAGCACTGGGAATTATTAAGAAGAAAAATACTTTATTCGTGGCTGAAGTAAAGGGTCACATTGATGAAAAATACATTAATGATTACATTAACTTTTTACCGATAATAAGAAACTTAGATATTATCACAGATGAAAAAACAATTGGCAGTTTTATGTATAATTACATGAAATCAAACAATCTACCAGTTGACCAGAAACAGAGAAAATTAACTCAGTTAGCATCAACACACAACCAATATCAACCATTTTCTTCTTATTATCTTTGGTATCTAATAGACAGATTTCATTTTATCATCGATGATTCAATCAATTTTAACATTTACGAAAAACACTTGTTTTAATGAATTTGCGAACAAATTTATGAACGAAAGACAAAAGGCTGAATTAGAAGGAAATAAAGGAAAAAGTTTATTTTGTAAGATTTCACTTAATGGATCATATGGTTACGATGCAATGAATACACAAAATTACGCAAAGACTAAAATAACGAATGCACAGAAGTCACGCGTTGCATGTATGTCAAATAAGTTTAAAAACATAAGAGAAATAGGAGAGGATACATATCAAGTGATGCTTAAAGATAGATTTTATAGATGTGAAACATGTTTACAAGAGGCATTCTTACTTTAGATAATGCTAAATACTGGTATTTGGTTTTCATTTATGATTTTATGTATAAATGCATGGATGTTAATCGTTTTCATTTCATTGAAGGTGATACTGATTCATCTTATTGGGCAATCGCTGGCGACCCAAATCTTCCTAACACTCAAGCATTTCAAGCAATTGTTACCGATAAACAATTTTATGATAAAAACATTTTCAAATTCGCACCTTTTGATTTCTTCTGTTTTGATGAGAAATTTAAACCTAAATTAAAGAATAAAGCTGAAGAAAAAGCACATGAGAAGAAGTTATTGGGTTTAGCAATTGAGAAACAAGGTGATAACATGGTGTTATGTCCTAAGTGTTATACATCATTCAACGGAATGATTGGTGAAGACTCCTTCAAAAAGATAGCACAAAAAATGAAAGGTGTTAGTTTACGACAAAATAAGCAATTAACACCTAAAAATTATTTGGATATAATAAATGATAAAGTCATTTTCGATGGTCAGAATATTAATTTACAACTTAAAAATGGGTCAATGACTCGCTTAACAATCGGTAAGACTGCATTAACAGGAGCACACACTAAGGCTGTATGTTGTGAAAATGGATGTTGTATGCCATTTATTTAATGAAATGCCACAGAAGAGACAAAGAGGCGGGCACCCTTAAATATTTATTTTATTTTTATATAAATGAATAGCGTAGATTTAAAAATTTTAATTGATGATTTAGTATTTAATCAAAATTTTCTTACTTATTATGATTTAAAAGCATATCTTCAAAAACATGATAAAAATATAACGGGTGATGATATGGATGAATACTATCGGTATTATAAAAACGAAATTTTGAAATATCATGATAAAATAATTAAACGTTTAAGAGAGAATATTAAAGAAGGAAAATATTCAAAGGGAAAAAGTAAATCACAACTGAAACAGTTGAAAGATTTCAAAAATAAAGTATTAACAGAAGAAGATATTGATGAATTATATAAATTATATAATCCTGAGCCACAAAAACCAAAAGAGAAAAGTTTGGACGTTCAGCAGCTCATAAATGATGCACAAGCTTTAATTTATGATTCATTAGTTAAACCATATTCAGCCCGACTTTTAAATGAAGATCAACTTTTGGAATTCATCCTTCAACATAAACTCGAAGCGGGAAAGTATATCAATCCTTTATATACAGCATATTTAAAACAAATGAATAGAATACATCCAGAATTAATGAAGGGGGGAATGAATTCCAAAATCAAAGCAGATAAAATTAAACCACTTACAACACCAAAACCTCCAACAGTAGTACCTCCTCCTCCTTCAGTTAATCCTTCATCATTCACTTTATTATATCCATTTCAAACATTAAAGAAGCAAAAAGATTTTAAAAAGGATTTCAAAATATTAAATAAACCAATTGACCCAAAAATTCAACCGTTAAAGGAAAAATTTAGTCGACCTTCATTTGCTCCATATCCATATTCATACGAAATCGATCATCTGGAATATTCAAAAGGAAATATTACTTATTTATTTGCCATTAACATTAACA